GGTGGTTTTTCCCAGGACTGAGAAGATTGAATTCACACTAAACCTGTCAAGTTAGAAATTCGTTCATTCACGCAAAACTATTCTAGTTGGGGTGAGGCAGCAAGGGTGGAAGAAAAAAGACAAATAAATAAGAGAACACTTGATTCTGGTTATGTATACAAAAGACATAAAACAATGATATGGGAGACAGTGAGTGGAGTAGAAAGGACAGGTACTTTATTAGGGTGGACAGGAAAAGCCTCTCAGAGGAAGTGAGCTGAGCTGTACCTGAAGGGTATAAGGTGTCAGCTCTGGAAAACACTAGGAGAAGTGAATTTCCACTAACAGGAATAGCAAATGCAAAAGCCATGTGGTTGGAGTGTACATTGAGCATAAGTAGCACCTAATGAAGTTGGGAAGAATACAGGGGCACCTTGGGAGCCATGGTAAGGCATTTGGATCTTACACTGAGTGCAAAGGGAAACCAGTGAACTATTTTAAGCAGAGGAACAACAAAGTCTGATTTGTGTTCTTAAAAGTTCTCAGAATGTTTTTGATTAAGAGGGCAGCATTAAATTGCATCAAAGAAACTTCCACCTCAATAAAATAAACAAAAACTTTAAAAAATAGAAAGTATATATACTTCCCAGATACCAAATTAAAAGAGGTCACAATCTCATTCACTGTTCTTCCAAAGTGGATGGCCAAGGAAAGAAAAAGAAGGTTCCAGGGAAAAAAGCAGAGAAATATAGCTGTATTCATAAAAAGGCAAAGGTCTGGAATTTTTACTATTACCCTTAAATTCAGACGGTGTTCCTTTATCTTTTTGAACTTCTGACCAGGAAGTTGTGGGAGGGATTGAAGTTGGGGCACAGGGATGGCTAACCCCTGATGGAAGTGCAGGTGTAGAGCTAGACTCAGAACTGAGAGCTGGGTCCAAGCCCTGGAGTCTTCTAACATAATTGGTCAGGCCAAAGAGGAGACAGCAATGGGGAGAAGCAACTGAGAAGGATCAACCAGGGAAACAGGAGAAGCATGAAGAGAACATGGTATTATGGAAGCCAGAGAGGAAAGTAGTATAAGAATGGTGGAGTCATCAGCTGTATCAATTGCTGCTGAGTGACCCACTAAAATGAAGACAAAGAAGTGTCTGCTGGACGTGGCAATGTAGAGGTTGTTTGTAACTTGACAAGCAGTTTCAATGGAGTGGTAAGAATGGAGGCAAGATTGAATCTTGGTGAAGGTTTTTTTATCTATAGTGTCCAACAGATAAAAACAAATCAGTTGATTAGGAAAAGTATGATCTTTCCAGATACTGAGACCTGACATGTACAGTTGTACACAACATTCTCAATAATATCTCTGCAATAATCATATCAGGTTTCATAGCCTTCCTGCCCCTTCATATTGGACATCCGGAGGTATTATAGAGGATTTTCTTCATTGGGTGAAAAATTGGGCTAACTGGTTATTTTATTGGAATATGGTAATTCCATATAATAATTTCATATAATAACCATAAATGGGCTAAGGTCCCTCTTTTAATTGTAAGAGACTACTAATACTGGCATGTCCCTTATTTGGTAGAGGGCTAGACCTGCTTTCTCAGAAGTCATCTTTTGATGGCCATGATCTAAAAATATGAACTAAGTAAAGCATTTATCATCCACAGGAACTGAAGGGGATATGAGAATATCAGTGTTAAGCAAAAGGATTGCTGAGTACAAAAGAGGACCCATTAAAGATCAAAAAACCTGAATTTATACAGTTTAGTAAAATTTGCAGAGTCAAGACCTGCTGGAGAAAAAGCGATTTTTTCAGAGGCACTAGAGAACTATGTGGACCTGGACACTTCAGGAACATAGTTTTCAGGCTGGGCTTGGTTGCTTTTAATATGGAAACTGAGCTTTAATACCATTTTGAAATTTACAGTGATTGTCTAACTACACTCAGACAATATAGCCTAGTATTTAAGAGTGTAGGCTGTGAGGACAGACCAACTGGAGTCTACTTCTAAATAGTTTTATGGCCATGGGCAAGTTAATCTTCTCAACCTGCAGCTCTCTCATCTACAAAATAGGGTGTAATAATAGTATATAGTTCACAGGGTCATTATGAAGAGTAAATTTGACAATGCCTGGGACTTTTAGTTAAGTACTAAAAATGTGGTAAACAACATTATGGCTTAAGAAGCCTTTTTCCTAAAGCTGGTGATTAGAGCAAAATGGGTAACCCACATTTATAATCCTGACAATTTCCAGGTATTGGGCCATCTCTTTTCCACCCAGTTTACACTACAACTCCCTCCCTCCCCCATAAAAAAAAAAGTGGATCTTAAGTGAGGGGTCTCTTTAGTGAATGAAGTGTTTGTGAATAGAAACATTCCAGTGGTACCTTGTCCCAGAGATGAGAGCAAAAATCCCCATGAGGAGCTGGAAAGTTTGAGTGTGTGTGTAGGACCAACATCTTGTAACACACTTAGAAATCACATTAGTCATCAGGCTTGTTAAATTGCCTTGGAATGAACGCAGAGAAGGAAAGCATTGGAGGGTGATGGTGCAGTGGTATGACCAGGCAGAGGGGGAACATGTACACCTTCCTTAAGCTCCAGGTTCCTGAAATGTACTGAAGATGGGTTCAGCTTGAGAACTGGGGTCTTGGAGCTTGGATGAGATTAGAGGATACAAACTGGCTGCAAACCAATGAAGGGAACAGAGCACCCTCTTGGGTTTAGGAGAGCTGGCTGGGGTTGGGTGAGAACTCTCATAAGCCAGACCTGTGAACCACCCACTGTCTACACTGAGGCTGCTGGTGGGTGAGCCAGTTGATGGATGGTGGTGATGACCTGGAGAAAGGGACAGCAGCCTGTCCCAGGCCAGTCACATAAGATGATGTTGCTAAACTCTCATAGGAGTATATACAGGGAATTGGGGGTGGGGGGTGGTTACTGGGGAGAAAACCACCCCACGTTGAGTCTCAAGTCTAAGTTGTAGTGATAAGAAGAAAATATCTAAGTCTTTCCAACTGAATTGAGATTCTTAGTAATGAAAATTCAATGATGAGCTTTGGAATTGAGTTAAGATGTGGTTAAGGAAAAGGAGAGATTAGCAGAACACAATTAGAAAGCAATTATTAGAAAAATAAACCAATCATACTTATATGTTATGGACATGAAATTCCTCATCTAATCAGTTGCAGTTATTATCTGAAAGTTAATCTTCCTTTTCATAGCTAGTTTCTTGTTTCTTGTTATGAATTTTGTGTTCATATTATGTATTTTGAAAAAAGATTCTTGTTTATTTTTCTCCCCACATAATTCTAGTAAATAGAACATAAAATGCCTAAGATATAAATGCAGATATATGTCCTTGTTTGCTTCTTTGTTACATTATCACAAGATTTCCAAAAGAGTACATGTTTTAAATAACTTACATATTTATCTTTTTATAATTATAATATAGATCCTTTGCAAACATGTTAACTATTAAAAAAAAGTCATCCACATCACATTATCCAGGTATAACCCTGTTACTATTTATATTCTTCCTAACTTTTAAATTCATACATGCAATAAATATACTTCAAACAAATAAAAGTGTGTCAAATTATACAAACTATTTTGTAACCTACTTGTTTCACTTTTAGCACTTAGAAGAGCGCTTGGCATATCATGTGTTCAATAAATATTTGTTGAATAAATTGGTGAACATATTTTTGTCATTAAACATTTTTTGTGGCATCCTTTTCCATCACAATTGCATAGAATTCCATTGTGTGAATTATCATGCTCTATCTAACCAGTTCCTGAAGAGCTGAGGAGGAACAAGGCATGTGATGGACACAGAGATGCCCCACACAGGCCCCTCAAGGGGGAACATGCTGCCCGGCCGCTGGAAACACTGGCAGCCCCAGCCTCCACTGTCAGCCCGCTTCAGGGATTGCCTCGGCCACAGAAAGCCGCCTTCCCAGGGTGACCCATATCTGAGGACTGATCACAGAGGGGCCCAATGCAGAGCATTCCTGGGCCAGAGAAGGGGTGAGGCCTGAAGCTGTCCAACCGGCATGGCAGCTCAACTTCTTCAGCCCAATGCTATTTCTTCCCTCTCCTTGTCATGGGTATTTAATTCCAAATAAATATACTGCACACTAAATTCTGTCTCAGAGTTGGCTTCCTGAAATACCTAACCTGTGCAGAGATGGTCCTGACCCATGAGAACTCCTGAGTCTATTGATTTAAAATTCTAACATTACTGCCATTACTTACCGCTAAATCAAGCAAAATAAACTCTGGTGCATGTTTATCATGATATGTTATGCAGTCATTAAAAGAAATGTGGTTTCTTTTGCTCATAAATTGTTGATGCTGTGTATGACACATTGTGGCTCCAGAGGAAGGTGGGAAAGAAAGGGAAGGGGAGAGGAGGGAAGGAAAATTGGGCGGGGGGAGCAGAGGGAGGAATTGGACATCATCGAATAATTACTTGAGCATCCTCTCTATGCCTGAATTTCACCCAATCTGTTTGTTCTCAGATCTTTGTCCCCTAGTCTTTGGACCACCCCAGTGTGAGCATTACTTGAGCAATGAGTAGCCCCATCAATGCAGCATATGCAAGTTATAAAAACTGAAACTAGACATGACCCTGGGCAGATATACATGAACCAGCATGACTATGGACAGTCAGAACAACAAATAGGCTTTTAATGCACAAAAAAGTAGAATAAAGGATCAAATCACACTAATAAAAAACAAACTAAAAAAAGCTTTAAGAGTGATTGTTTGAGGAAAGCCCAGACTACCAAGGAGCCAGAAGTGATGCACTGAACCCTGTCAAGGTGCTTTCATCTGTCAGAATCACACATTCCAAAACAGCAGAAATCTACTGACCGAAAACTTCCTGTTACTTCAAACCTCAGGGGGCAGGTTCAGACAGCATCTGGCTCAGCCCATGTGAGATGCCTCCTCCCAATCACAGACCATCCTTCCCTGGTCCTAAAGGTTCAAAGATTTGCTGCAGGGTAGAAAAGCACCTCAGGCTAACTTGGCTTGCAGAGTGGGCCAGCACTGCTCCAGGAGAAAGAAGAGGAGAAGGAGAGGGCACCGTGAGTAAACGGGTTTCACCCCACAGGGAAGACGATGGGGCTCTCAGTGTTTGGGTTCTTTTCTCAGGAGGGCAGCTAGCAGTCTGAAAGGGGAGGAAGTTAATTTCCTGTCTTTTTTTTTTTTTAATTGAGGACATTGTGACTGTTCTGTTCTCTTTTACCTAAAACTGTACAAATGCTTTCTTAAACCCTTTGATATTGTCCAGTTCTCAGAACTCAGATTAAAGCTATTCTGGGGGTGTTGTTCATCCACCCTGATTTCAACCTCAGATTGCCTCACAGAAAGACCAAGAACCCTGGAAAAACCTGTATCTCCTGATTAAAACTCAGATAGACATCTTTTTGGACCCCGCCTCCCCTCCCCAAGTTTCTTCACGGAGTCAGAAAAGTAGAAATTTTCAGGAAACCGGTCGTATTCTTAATAATCAGTCTCTTAGCCTAGCAGAAAGTTTTCTGGCCTCCTTGTCAGAAATCTTTTGGTTCTGCCAACTTGTAATGGGATTTGTGAAGTTTACTCAGGTTTCTCCTCTGCAAACAACTCTGCTTAAGTATGTGTCATTTGAAATGTCATCAAATTAGCTTTATCTATACAATGTCATTTTTATTCTTCACCAATTAGATGATCCACAGGTCCTAAATATATTTTTTGTTCTAACATCATTTTTGCATATCACCCAAATTAGGTTTCAAATAATGCCAGTATTCTTTTTATAAGTTTAAAACCCCAGTTTAACTAGTTTTAAAGATTTTTATGACTTGAATTTTTATTAATTTTAATGCCTTTTTTAAAAATCAAGACCAATGTTTATTGACCATTTCTTGCCTGGAAAGAGTTGCTAAGCATAAGAATTCAGATTTATATATGTGTTTCAGTTATATATATATATATAACTTGGGTTATAGACTTCTTAAACTTTGTGAAGAAATGGTTTTCCTATTAATTAACTTTTCTCAAGGGGGAGAAAAAATCTTATTTTGCTTTTTTGCTACAACAGATATTTTGCTTTTTGCTAGGATTAAAAATCAACTCACAAACTGTAATTGAAAAAAAATCAACTCATCAATTTTAACTACCTGGAAAGAATCACAGACTTTCGGATCCAAAGGACACTTTAGACACCATATAGTTAAAGAAAAAGAAAAGAAAGAAAAAGAAATTTTGGAATTTTTTTTAAATATTTTATTTATTTTTAGAGAGGGGAAGGGAGAAAGAGAGGGAGCAAAACTTTGGTGTGAGAGAGAAACATCCACTGGTTGCCTCTTTCATGCCTCCCAACTGACCCTACAACCCAGGCATGTGCCCTGATCAGGAATAGAACCAGTGATCCAGTGACCTTTCACTTTGTGGAATGATACCCAACCAACTAAGCCACACTGGTCAGGGCTCAAAATTTCATTTGACCTCTACTCATACACTCTTACCCAGATCAAACACTGACAAGCCCCAAAATATGCTTCATTCTGCTATTGGTATCTGGGCCTCATGAACAGACAGGCTCCCCACACCCTTTATGAGCTACTGTTCCTTAATTGGGGCAGAGACCAAGTTCATGAAGAGGGACCCTAATCTCACATCCCCCAAGGATTCTCCATAGTATTTGTGCCCTGGGGCTGGGCAGGCCACTGGCATGACACATGCCCAAGGCCCTCACTTGGCTGGGAGTGCCTGAGCCCTTGCTCATCCCAGCCCTTGATTTCCGGTGGGTGTATGACGCTGAGGTCATCACAACCATCATCCAGAGTCTAGAGCAGCACTGTCCCATAGAACCTTCTGTGAGGGTGGAAATGTTCCGTACAAGGTGGAGCAAAAATGTTTACAGTTGTTCATATGGAAACTAATATAATAATGAATAAATAACGTAAGAATAAACCCTGAGTTTCAAGTGCTGACAACTGCAAACCTACTTTTTCCCCACCTTGTATAGTGGCTACTAACCACATGTGGCTGTTGAGCACTAGAGCTGTGGCTAGCACAACCAAAGATTGAAACCTTTTTAATGGAAATGATTAGAATTTAAATAGCTACTTGCAGCCACCAGGTACCATTTTGGTCAGAGCAGGTTTAAAGCTCTGAAGCAAGAAAAACTAATGAATATTGTGTTTTATGGATGTCATAGTCTTGGGAACAAGCTCCTCTTTTCATCACCCCCAGGGACGCATCCCACCCTAAATTTAAGTAGACCAGTAATTGTCCTGATAGAAAACCTCCACACCCACTTTTATTCTCACCTCCAAATCATACAATGGTCTTTTCTTGTTCTGGGTTTCAGGCTCAGGGCTAAGGCAACAGCATATTATGTTTCTTGTTTCTTCCTTTCCTATTTCACCTTTTCTTTTGTTTATGCAAACTTCTCTAGCATGCAAAAGTTTGAGGTGTGGTTTATGTTATTTGGTTCAACAAACTACGTGAGGGAAAGTAGTGACCTTAAAAAAATGATCTCATATTTGGTGGGTGAGTCTTTCTTGTTCTCTGAAAATTAGTTTGTTTAGTTAGCAATCATTGTTTTTTTAGACTTATTTGATGCGTATGGAAACATCAACACTACAGATATAAATAATATTTATAAGAAAACAAACTAAATGGAGTCACAGGGGAAAAAAAAAAGAGTAAAACTCCAGCTTTTGAAAAAAATCCCTACTCCTCAGAGAAAAACAACTCCCAAGATGTTGAGTAATTTGAATAAATCATATTGGTGGCAGGCCACTGGGCAGTTTTCCATAGGGTTGGGTTCATAGGGGCTGTGAAAACATTATGCAGAAAACATTTTGAGGTGAGCTGTGCACTTTGAGTCAGGGGCAATATCGTTTCTGAAGTGGACAGCTGCTACTATGCCCTCTGCCTTCTATCAATCCCACTCTTAAAAAATCACCCCATCCCAACTGCACCTTTTCTAGCTCTACCAGATTAAAAAAAAAAAAAAATCTAATAAACATGCGAGAAGTCCTGCTTTGGATTAATAGGAAAATTTCAGTAAATCCCATATTTAAAATAACTCAAACCTACTAGGTGCTAAAAGGGAAGGGGAAAGGGAAGACACATCATATTATCAGGAGTCAGTCTCTGTCCACAGAGACAGCCCCAAACCCCAAATCAATAGTTAGGAGGTGTTTGTCTTTGTAGGTTCTACCCTCTCTTTGGGACCCTTTCCCTCTCATGGCATCTTCTCTCTCGCTTCAGAACATGAGGAAGGGACCTGATAACAACATTCACAATAACATTGACGTTGATGACTCATGAGACTCTGTGTGCCTCTTTTATAAGCAGTATTTGCATTCTAATCAGCAGCAGCAAAGGAATGTTCTCCAGTTGTGGGATTTCAGAAATTACGGTGAAGAGTAAGGAAGACTTAAAAGGAGGACAAGAGTGAAAGGCTCTCTTCTCTCCTTTCTAGCTTTGTTATGAGACTCCCTTTGTGGCTTAACTTGTAAGAGAAAAGGGCAGGTTCTAAGCCAGGGCATTGGAAGTTACTCTTAATTTTAAAAAAGCATAAAGGGAGGTGGTATTTCCGGACCTTAAAAATAGGAATGACTAGCAGAAAATCCAGTATGAGGCTAGTTTAAGAGTTAGGAGATCAGGACTCAGATCTTGACTCTGCAATGACACATTGATGATCCTGAACCCCTCTTGGAGCCTAAGCTTACTCATCTGTACAATTAGGGGTTTGGCTACCAAGCCTCCAAGATTGCAATCACAATCACGATATCAGCAATAAGCTGATATTCCACCATGATATGAATGGGCATGTGGCCAATAATGGCCTGAAGATAAATAACACTTTAATTTCTCCCTAATTGCGTATCCTCTTAACAAGACAAAAGCTACAAAGGGTGTAGTTATTGACTTCTAGGTTTCACTCATCAATTAATTTGAAGGTGTATCATTTTATTCCTTTAGTGTAATTATTTGTCAAATTGACTTTTCAATGTAATCTATCCCTTTGTTGGTTCAGAATAACTGTTTAAACAAGCTGGTAAGTCAAAGAGGTAATGAAGTACCAGGCTAGATTGCTGTGGAGGAGACTAGTAGGGGAGAAAAGCCATACCCACATATACACCAAACAGAACCTGTCTGGAGAGCTGTTCACCTAGGTCAAAGAGAGGTAGGCAAGAAAAAAAAGATAATTTGGGGCAAGAGTACTTGAAGAAAGAAGAGGTTTTTCACCTGAGCTTCAGACAATGGTAAGGAGTTCAACAGGCAGAAATGAGAGAAAGGATCCCAAAAGGAGAGACAACTAAGCACAACCTGGAAACTCAGGGTAACAGAGGAAGACAAGCAGCAGGCCATTGGAAATCTGGCTGGTACTGTCTTGAATACAAGCTAAGGAGCTTGCGCTGTTTCTCTTAGGCTGCCCAATCTCTCTTCCATGGGCTAGGAGAATGAAATGGTTGGGTCTGGACAAATACTGTAGATACAGGCAAAGGGAAGACATCGGTCTGTCTCCAAGAGCTGAAAAGTCGAAAACCTTTCATTTTTTTTAAGATTTTTTTTAAATATCAAAACCCTTTCAAATTCATGAGAAATCTGGATTTGAAGAGACTGGTCAGCAAGAAAGAATGAGTGGACAAGAGGAGCCATGTGGCAACAGGAAGTAAGGAGAAGCCTGTGGCAGAGCTTGTGGGGGCAGCAGGAACTAGCTAGGGCTCTCCTTTGAATGAAGGTTATAGGGAGCCTTTGTGGGTGTTTAAGCAGGGAAGTGATAGAAAATCAGAGCTGTGGTTTAGGACAGTGAGTCTCAAGACTGATTGAGTGGCTGGCACTTGGCATGTTTATCTTTGTCAAATCACAATGCATTTAATATATCACCACAAAGTGTTGGTATATTAAATTTAAAATAATTAAGTAGACCATTTTGGCCTAAATTTATGCTATAAACTAGACAGGTGGTAGCAAGCACCCAAGATTCAAGAAAATTTTGTGAGAGGGAAATGCTTAAAATGACAAATTTTGTTCATTAATTTTTCTTCAAGTTATGCAATGACTGCAGTTATTCAATTTTGGCTCAAAACATGTTGTCCCAATAGGTAGAATATCTGTGCTCTGCAGGATCATTGAGACCCTCTGCTTTAGAAGTTCGCTTTGGAAGCACTGTGTGGCATAGAAACAGAGACTTTCGAATTCATCTGAGCCAGAAGATAAGAGCTGTCAGTAGGCCTCAGAAAACATCAGAAAATGATCATTTTTGCTTCTATCAAAAATACAGGTCAATCCAAATTAGGGGTTCTTCACAGAAACAGAACATATAGTCTCTCTCTCTCTCTCTCTCCCTCCACCCATTTTAAGGATTTGGCTCATGTGGTTTTGGGGGCTGGCAAGTCAAATCTGTAGAGCAGACCTGCAGACTGGAAATTCAGGTATGGTTTTTCTATGTACGGCAGGTATGGCAATTCTAGGCAGAATTGCCTCTTCTTCAGGAAACCTCAGTCCTTGCTCTTAAACCCTTTGACTGATTGGATAAGGCCCACCATGTTATGGAGGATAATCTGTTTTACTGATATCGATGTTAATCTCATCTAAAAAAATATCTTCACTAAAATATCTAAATTGGCATGTGACCAAACAACTGGGCTCCATATCCTCATCAAGTTGACAAAATTAACCATCACAGAGTGTTCATTTTGGTATTTCCTTATCAGTCAGACAAAGACAAAACTCAAGAATTCTTGTTATTAACTTCTTAAGGCACAACAACTAACTATAGGCTGAGAGAACACCACAGTTTATGTTTTAGATGTAGCTCATTTGTCCATCCCTTTTGTCTTCTCTCTATGCCAGTCCTCTCTGGAAAGGTCAATGAATTCATAATTTTTTAAAAAGCTATTGGTGTGAAACTTTATCAAAGTTTTTCTTTTTTTAAGCTACATAAGTTCTTTAGTCTCCTCTGGGCACAAGAGGATAATAGCTTTCAAAGAGTTCTAAAAGATTAGCTTGACCTGATTGTTTTCTTTCATGTAAATCACATTGCCTTTCCTCTAAGCTTACCAGGACTGCAGCCCTTCCTTAAGTTCCTCCAGCTTATCTATTATGGAAGTAAATTCACTTGTTCCAGTTTTCTAGGAGACTTCCCTAGAAATCTTTCACTGAATGACAGTCTCTTTCTTTTAAATTTTTAAAAAGATTTTAATTATTTTAGTTTTAGAGAGAGAGGAAGGGAGGGAAAAAGAGAGGGAAGAGAATGTGTCAGAGAAACATCAATCAGTTGCCTCTCACACAACCCTAGCAGTTGACCTGGCTGCAACCAAAGCATGTGCCCCGACTGGGAATCAAAACAGTGACCTTTCACTCTGTGGGACTATGCTCAACCAACTGTGCCACTACGATCAGGGCTGAATGGGGGTCTCTTTGACGCAGAGACTATGTAATATCAATTTACACATTTCAACCGGAGTTTTCCAACTTCACTCTTGAGTGTCTACTAAATTCTTGGGTAACGTCCTTCTGAGCTCAGTAATTTACCTTCATGTTTCTTTCTTTTGTTTTTACTAAAGATTTTGTTTATTTTTAGTGGGAGGGAGGGAGAGAGAAAGAGAGAGAGAGAAACAGTGATGGTGTGACAGAAACATCCATCAGTTGCCTCTTGCACATGCCCCAACCAGGCTCCAGGTCACAACCCAGGCATGTGTCCTGACCAGGAATCCAACCTGTGACCTTTCACTTTGTAGGATGACCCTCAACCAACTGAGCCGTGCTGGTCAGGGGTCCTTCATGTTTCTTTTCTGTTAATTCTAAAATAGTGGTTTCCAACCACTCTGGAGCTAACCCTGTGATTATAAAGTTTAAAGCTGATTAGGGGAAGCTGTGTGAGGCCCAGACTCCCTACTCTTGTTTCGGCCAGATTTTATCTCTTTTTATATATTAATTATATAAGGAAATCGTATTTTCATATTTCCTTTGAAAATGTGGCTCTGTTTTAAAATGCAATTAAATCACTAGTTTTAGGTACATTCACCATTCAATAGTTGATATTAGCTCTGGTCTGTCTGCTTCAAGTAACTGAAGCAAAAGTAAAGAAAGTTAATACTGTATGGGTAATATTGTGTTAGAATTTCATATATATTCTCATTTAATTTTCACAGTAACCCTTCAAGTTAAGTATTACAATGCCAATTTGGAGATAAAGGTCCACAAATTAAGTAACTACCTGAGGTCACAAAACTGCCAAGTGGTGGAGCTGTGACTCAAATTCGGGTCTGCCCAAAGCCTATGTTCTATCTACCTCACACTTCTAACCAGTTCTGCAATAAATGTCTAGGCAAACTTTACACTCATATTTCATTCATCCATTCAAATACATATTTTTCCCACTTACTGTATCTTTTTAAATTTTGTATTTATTTATGTATTTATTTTCCATTGCTACTTATCCCTCCATACTCTCTTCCACCTCTACCCACCCCTCCTTCCCTACAATCACCACACTGTTGTCTGTGTCCATGAGTTCTCTCTCTCTCTCTCTCTCTTTTTACTTTTGCTCAATCTCTCCATACCTTCAACCTTCCCCAGAACTAACAAGCAAAATAGAGATAGATTTATAGATAGGGAGCAGGCTGACAAATACACAGTTTTTAAAATGTACTTTACCTGCCCTTTTATTTAGCAAAAATAATTTGAGCGCCCACTATGTTTCAAGCACTGTGCCACCTTGGACCTACAAGGACAAATAAAATGGTCCCAGCACCTTCTCCTGCTTTGGAGATTATTACAGTAAAATGCAGGAACAGCCCTTCCTCGGTTGATACCAGTGGAAAGGAATGAACAGGGGGAGCAGAACAGAGTCCTTCCTGAGGAATTTCTGCAACAGGGAGAAAGCAACCCTGGTACAGAGGAGATAAAATGTCAAGACTCACCTCTGCATCACCTGGCCAAAGCCTGAGGGACAAGGCCCAATGGTGGGCGGTAACTGTTCAGGAATGCTGATGGAATGCGCAGAGGGCCTCTCCCATCCTGCTGCCCAGTATCTGACTCTGGCTACACCCCAAGCACAACTGGGAAGTTGTTGTTTTTTTTTTCTCTTCCAAAGAGAGATTTTTTTCCCCCATGAACACTTCCATGGAAAATAAAAAGAGGCACACATGGGTAAGGTCTCCAGTCCCTTCTGGCATAGCAGCCCCTGGGCAAGCAGCAGAAGGAAGGTTGGGGTGGAAGAGACTGCTTCACTGCAACCTCGGAGCCCTTGGTGGTTGGACCATTTATGTAGAACCTCTCTCCTAGGCCCAAGGGTCACTGGTGCATAAAGCAAAACCATAACCTAATACCTTCCCTTCTTAAATATCCCCCTGGTTATTGTTCACAATTCCTTATGTCTGTAAGTAATTTTAGTGTTTGCCAACCGCTTCTGCATATTTTATGTTGTCACAACAATCCCATCAAATAAGGTGTGTTTCACTCATTTTATAAATGCAGAAGAAAATGAGTGGAATTAATTGCCCAGGGCTATCCACAATAGGAATGGGCCAGCCTGGGATTTGAATCCAGGCATTCTGATGCCAGCTGCAGCATGCTCACCATTAGACCACAGCCATGAGACCACCACCACCACAGTTGTGAGCCAACTACCAGAGGTGTAGACTTGACTCCCTAACTGCCATCCCTTTTGACATTTATGGCTGTTTGTGAGTGAAACAAATGTTCTCCAGACACCAACCAAGACTAAAAAACAAGTGGTCAAGGAGAAGCTATGAAATGTGGACTCTCACATTGACCTGCACATTTGTATCTTTTACTTCCAACAGGTTCAACCCTGAGGGATGGGTGAGGGAGCCCCAGCTTTGGAATACATCTAGACACATTTCCTGGAAAAAAAAATCATGTGGGCACAGTACTGGGTTGGGGGAAAATGTGCAAATATTAGTGCAGTGTCGAGGGGCTAAGAGACAAGATCCTAGAGAAGTCAATGAAGAGAGGCCTGTCGATCCTGACCTTTGCCAAGGCAGATCATCTGAGCAGGGAAAGTGTGTCTGCTCTCTCTCTGCTCCTGGGTTGGCAAGGAAGTGAACCAGGTGTTTTGTTTTGTTTTGTTTTGTTTTGTTTTGTTTTGTTTTCCAAAAGCATTAGCTATGGGACAGGATTTAATAAACTGCAGAGTGTTAAGTAAATGACCTGGAGCCTGGCAGAGCTGGGTTTAAATCTCCACCTTTGCATCTTCTAGCAATGTGGTCAAGCAATGTAATCTCTTCAAGCCTCCTTTTCTTCATCTGCAAAATGACAACAAAACAGATTCTCCCCTAGACCTTCCAGGAATAGGGAAGTTCGGCTCACACCTTGATTCTAGCCCAGTGAGATTCAATTTACACTTCTGACCTCCAAAACTGTAAGAGAATACATTTGTGTAGGGTTGTTTCTTTCCTTTTTTTATCTACTTTAATTAAATTTATTGGGGTGACATTGGATAATGAGGTTATATAGGTTTTAAGTCTACATTTCTATGGTACACAATCTGTATATTGCTCGTGTGCCAACCACCCAAAGTCAAATCAGTTTCCATCACCATATATTTGGTCCCATTTACCCTCTACTATCCTCCCCACCCCACTTCCCTCTGGTAGCCACCATACTATTGTCTGTGTCTATGAGTTTCAGTTTTATATCTCACACATGAGTGAAATCATATGGTCATTAGCTTTTTCTGACTTTCTTAGCATAATATTCTCAATGTCCATCCATGTTGTCGCAAATGGCAGCATTTCATCTTTTCTTATGGCTGAGTAGTATTCCACTATAAGCCACTAAGCTTGTGGTAATTTGTTACAAGAGCAATAAAAACCTAATACAGATTTTGGTAAAAATACATCTCTCCAGTCTGTTGAGAGAGGATGAAGTTAAGTGCTGAGCATGTGCAGAGACCATCATAAATGCTCATTAAATGACAGTTTTCTTCATCATTTTGTTGCTTTAAAAGAAATAGTGACTTCCTAAATTATTATGTGACACTGATGCTAAGGACCTGAAGGAGAAGAGGATGCATAGTGAAGAAGGAGAAAAATCTAATCTTCAACTTCAGAATAGCTTGTCTGTTGATCTATTCCTCATCTAACCCACAGCCAGGCTGCCTCCTGGCATTTCCTCCCATGTGTTTGTCTAGATTTCCTCAGTTTACTCTTCTTTTTGCTCAAACCAACCTCCCCTCTGCCTTCTTTTCTGCATTGTTTCACTCGGAGTCTGACTTGCAGTTCTCCCACAGAGTATTCAATTATCTCTCCCCCTTTTAAAACTGTGTGTCAGAATCCCCTCTAGGAAAGTATGGATGTTATGGAACATAATTGGGTGACTGGTGCCAAGTGGCTATTTGGGGTCCCTTCAGCTCCTTTCTGGATCAACAAACCCCTCTTTGGTGACCTACCACCCTTCTTCCTTTTCTCCATGGCCCTATTTCCCCCCTTTACCCTACAGTCATTTTTGCATTGAATCCGTGTTGCTGTAGTCGCACTTTAAATTCTTTGAAAGAACAAACTGCTTTTTCTGTTCTTTAGGCCCAACTAATCATCACAAATAGGCTGGCACCTGGCAAATGGATGCATCATTGGTAGTGGTTGATAATGGTGCTGAATTGGGCCTCTCCAGATTTACCCCCTTTATTCTTTAGTCTTGCGTTGTCTGAGCTTCTACCTTTCATGGTTAGTTTACCCGTGTCTCAAGTTTAGGTGGTAATCCAACTGGTCAGGAGCAATGCCCGTGCATACCAGTAATGAACTTTACAATGTGACTGACCCAGGTATATGAGTAAGGTTCCCTTGGGGGAGTTTGTGAGTTAACTCCTCCGGAGCACGCCAGCTCTTCTCAGTCTAGCATGTTAACAGTCTCTGGAAAGAATGAGTGCCATTTCTAAGCATGAAATGACATTTCCAACAGAAAAAAATGAATGTCATTCCTAAGAAGAAACTATACTTGGGAATCTTGAAACAGTGGCCAGAGTGTTCTATTCATTCAGCAGACATTAATGGAGAGCCCATTACATGCCCAATGCTGTGCTAAAAACACATAAATTTTAACTCTTTTAGTTCTCACAGCTTCTCAGGTGAACAGGAAAGGGAAAATATTTAGAGATATTTAAGATTACTTGGAAGGTTGTTAATACTAACATTTGAGTGTCACAATGAACTTAAAATTTAGCAAGGTCTGAGTCAAATAAAAGGCTTGCCGCCTACTGATCCCCACATAAACCAGGGCTTCAGCCAAACCAGCTAGATTGCAATCTCATCGGCTCCCGGCTCTTCCAGGCTCCAGTGCCCAGCCTTCCTTTTACCTAGAATGTCAGCCATCCCACCCTCCTCCCATACCCACCCCCCTCCAGTCTACTTATCAAAACCATACATATTCTGCAAGGCTTCCCTCCTCAGAGCCCCCATGGAACTTAGGGTCTTTCTAGGTATATTGTATTATAACTCTTTAGAAAAATGTCTCAGCTTCCCTGAAGCATAAAATCCCAGACTACAACAATCTGCCTTACATTTCTTTGTATATCTCAAAATGCAGGTTATATCATTTAATACATTTTTATTCAGAGTATGAATGCATGAAGTGATGATTTAATTACTTTAATTAATAAACCATTGAGAGATGTGAATGGCTTTTCTCAAAGTGATTCAAGTGCAAAAGCTACTTACCCTTGTGTTCCTTCCATAGAGTTCTCAGGGAGGGAGAAGCCCACTAATTTTTAGTACCATACAAAGCACTAAACCTTGTAAACAACTTCTGGGAGTTGGTGTGGGCTGGGCAGACACGCTTGGGCTCTGGAGTTACACAGACCAAAATCTCCAGCCTGGCTCTTCCACATACTGGTTGTATAATTCCAGGGAACTTCATTTACCTAAATTAAAGCCTCAGTTTCCTCATCTGCAAAATGAGCCTCCTCACCTTTTTCCTGTTTCTACCTAATTGGGTTATGAGACTTAGATGTGTGTATGTAAAATACCCAATAGAGTGACATGTAGAAGAAAGTAAATATGTTAGTCCCTCTTTTCTCCCACTCCTCTTGTGGAACAATGTAATTTTTTATTTGCCAATTATTTTTATTATTTTATTTTAATTATAATTGACATATAGTATTATATTAGTTTCAGGTATACATCATAGTGATTCAACACTTATATACCTTAGAAAGTGATCACCACGGTAAGTCTAGGAACCATTCACCATATAAATTTATTACAATTTGTTGACTCTATTCCCGGTGCTGTATATTACATCCCCATGACTTATTTTATAACGGAAATTTACCCTTCCTAATCCCCTTCCCTCTTACCCCCATCTCCTTAAGCAACAATCTGTTCTCTGATTTCACTTCTATATGGAATCTAAAAAACAAAACAAACTCATAGATCCAGAGAACAAGTGCCAACTGTCTTTGAAGATAACAAAACATTCTGAAAATAATGGTTTTAACCGCTGCCTAGAATCCCACAGGAAACACACTGCCTACTCTGGCCATGGGTTTACCCTTTGAGTTTCACCCCAAGGACCCTTGGTGAGCTTTAGCCCTGCCTAGTCATCGCCCCTCAGGTCTGCCCTTGATGGCTTGCAGGATCTCAGTTCATCACTCAGAAGTATGTGGTGTGTATATTCCCTACCTTAAAGAACTCCTGAAAATGACTAATCAGACTCTGTCAAGCTTCACTTTTTTTCTTCTTTATAAAATGACAATGATTACTGAGTTTAGTAACCAAATATCCTCCACCACTACATGATTTCATTCATTTGATTTGGTTGTTTTGAATGAGAAGGCAAAATACAATGGTGTTACGTAGTCATGTTATGAAACTTGTAGTAGTATTTGTCACTTGCTCCTATTAAGTTGTAATGTTCTCAGTTGTGTCTCCAGCTCAGGGGAACTCCTGAAGATGGCCAAAGATGACTCCACCGTTCGTTGCTTCCAGGGCCTCCTGATTTTTGGAAATGTGATTATTGGTGTAAGTAATGAGCATTTTTCAGGCAATTCTGCTCCTCCTGTAATCATGATTTTAGCTCAACCGAAAGTGAAAGTTTAAATGAAAATAATGATGTAATAATGGGCTCCCTGCACCTTTTCTTCATTTGAAGAAAGGTATTAGTAAAATATATTAGCTCCAATTTAACTATATCAATAATTATGTATAGTTAGGTAACATAGCAAAAGAATAGATTGAAAAAATAAGTATTTCCTTCCTAAGTTTAAAGCACAGAATCTAAAAAGAGTCCTGCCAGTCACAGTAAGCATCCAAACACTCCCACCGCACACACAGGCTCTAGTGTTTCTTTCCTATTTCACCTTCATTTGATTTCATGGAACTCTGCTTTTAAGATTGTGGGGGGAGATGTTATCATCTTTTTGTTCTTGTCACCCAGAGGCCACTCCAGAATGTGAGAGTAGCTCAGAGGCCAAGCTGCAGGGCGCATTGTGGTAGGAGAACACTTAGGAGTCAGGGTTACTGGCTCTTGGCCCAGCCCTGCTTCTGACTCCATGCGACTCTGGACAAGTCTTTCAGGGTCAAGACCCCTCACCCACAAAACACAGAGAGTGGGAAAGATACAAACCAAGGTACTTTCCAGCTCTAACATTCAGTGGTTCTCTGGCACTGATAAATATGACCAGGACCAACTTGAATATTACAACCTGGGAATTTGGATGATAGAGACTGGACATGGGAGATTAGCATCATTCGAGAAGACGTTTGAATGCTTCATACCTCAAGAACTTTATAACGGTCTGAAATTGGGTCTTTTCCCAAATAGCAATGTCACAGACAGAGCAACATGTGGACAGAGGCATACAACCAATTAGAAGGATGAAAGGAGCTGTTTGAGTTCCTGGCAATGAGTTTGAGTCACTTGCTAAAGCCTATGCAGGGGACAGAGTTAGCCTTTCTTACACTCCAACCCCCACTTCTCGATCCCTTCCCAATGCTACCCTCCCACCAGACTGACAGAAGCCCCTCTGCCCCCAGATGTGCGGCATCGCCCTGACTGCAGAGTGCATCTTCTTTGTATCGGACCAGCATAGCCTCTACCCACTGCTTGAAGCCACAGACAATGACGACATCTACGGGGCAGCCTGGATCGGCATGTTTGTTGGCATCTGTCTCTTCTGCCTCTCTGTTCTAGGCATTGTAGGCATCATGAAGTCCAGCAGGAAACTCCTTCTGGCAGTAAGACCTTAAAACTCTCTACAGTTGTCTCCTGGACCAACGTTGATGGATTGTTTCTTCTTCCCTGACCACAGTGCTTTGATCTTTAGTGGGGTGGAGGTTGCCATGTGGGATGGGAGGATGGAAGACTCTGCAGTGAAGCTTGTCCAAGTGGGGGCAAAGATGCCTTCTGCTATAGCAAGTGCAGAAGATTCCAGTGTAGGGAACCCAAAGGGGAAAGCCCTGGGGGTGAACCCCTGTTGAGTGTTTCTGAGATCTCTGCTTCTCCAGCTGGGGTCTGCAGGCACCCAACTGGTACAGCCAAGAGTAATGTAGCCCAAAGGACAGAGTGAAAACTTCATAATTATATTTTTTCTCTTGACAGTAAGAGATTTAAAATATTATTGTAATACTAGTCAGTATTAAAACTAAGGTATAAAATTCAAAATTTAATATTAGGACACAAAATATGCATGAATTCTTAAGAGGAAGCATGAGCCTTTTCAGATATTTTTGGGCTCAGGGCTGATGATTTTGTGTGTTGGCCTGCACTACTCATATTGTGCATTCAGTCTGCTTTTCAGGGACCCTGGCAGAGCTTGATGCACAGGGCCTAGAGTGCAGCCTCAGCTCCTACCTGACAGCGGAAGCTCTCATTCTGTGTATCCAAAGGGAGGCTTTGGCCCCAAACCGCAGATGGCAAGACATGCCCTGCCTTTGAAGAGGAAGTAAATTTGAGATATTTTGCAAAAATCAGCAGAGCTAACAACCCTGGGGTTTGGGTCCAGACCTCTACTCTCTACCCCCAGGCTCAAGACAGTAGTTGCTCATGCTATGATGGGGTCCCACCCCCATTCCTACCCAGTGCTTTCAGACCCGAGTTCCACCTTTATGAAACCAATCCAGCAACTTAAGGTGCTTGTTGGTTCATTTTCACTGTGCTCTGACCTTGTTCTGGTACCCAGGGAATGCAGACCATTTACATTCTCTGGTTCCTTAGTGTGAGTTAGTTCCAGAACTAAAGCACCCACTTTTAAAGGGTGGAGAAAGGAATGCAGGGAAAGGTAGGGGAGGGACAGATGTCCCTAGAGACATGCTTGTGCTGCATCTCAGGCTCTCTGTGGGCCAGTCATGTGTGCCTGACTCAGCCAGGGGAACTGAGCTAGAGGAGAACCCTCTTCACAATGCCCCTGAAGAGAAGGAGCAGGATGTCTGCCAAGGGGCTGACAGAGAAAACCACAGTACCCTTGGCCTCCTTTCCAGAGTGTCTCTAAGGGGTTTCTGAGCTTCTTTAACAGGAGCCAGCCAAGCTCTTGACAGAGAGCAAAACAGCAGCTCACAGAGGGAGGAAAATGTTATGAGGCCTCTGAACATGTTCCTGCTGTTCACCCTCCAGCCAAAGCTTTGCCCTGGGCCTAGTGGTGAGGGCAGCAGAGGGTCCTGCTGAGGGGGGGCATTTTAACATGTGTTCCCCCACCAACACTGACCTAAATACAACTTTCCCAGAACACAGGACCAAAAGTGTATGTGCAAAGCTGAAGAAAGCACCCTGGCTGGTGTGGCTCAGTGGACTGAGGGCCAGCCTGCAAACCAAAGGGTCACTGGTTCGATTCCTAGTCAGGGCACATGCTTGGGTGTGGGCCAGGTCCCCAGGTGGGACCATGTGGGAGGCAACCACACACTGATGTTTCTCTCCCTCTCTTTCTTTCTCCCTCCCCCTCTGTCTAAAAAGAAATAAACAAAATCTTAAAAAAAAAAAAAAAGCTGAGGAAAGCAAAGTGAGAATTCTTACAAATAGTTATCATCTCAGATTCAGAGGTTGTTTGTTGTTCAGAAATTTTCCAGACATAAATAGGGGCAGTGTGGTGTGAGTACATCATGTGCGTGAGCACACACACATATACCAGTTCACTCTCTTTTTCTCAGTTAAAATTGAAATGCAGGATACTGGACTGAGACAGCTCTATATTCAATGGGCATTTGTTCTTTGAAGAAAAGGAGAGAATTGAGCTGATTAGCTCTAAGCCTTCCTCCAAGCAGCTGATCAGTGAGGGTTTGTTGAATAACTACATGAATTACTGGATGATTATATTTATGTGAATATACAAGGGTGAGCAAAAGGTTTATAGTTGTGAGTACCCAAAGCATAATTTATTCTTGTATTATTTATTAATTATTAATAACCTACTTTTGCCTACCTCTGTACTGAGAAAACATAACAATTATTAGTTTTTAAAAAATCTTCCCTTGGAGATAAATGTAACTTGTATTAAAAAATTTGTTTCCCTCACAGTATTTCCTTCTGATGTTTATTGTTTATGGCTTTGAAGTGGCATCTTGTATCACAGCAGCAACACAACGAGACTTTGTGAGTACAATCCCAAAAAGCACAGGGCAAAACAATCATAGGAATTATCATTATCATTATAATAAGATAATAGCTAATATGTATTAAGCCCTTACTCCATACTAGGCACCCTAATATGCTCATTAATAATAAATATATAGTATTACTTTATCCTAATAATAACCCTATGAAATGGGTATTATGACTATTGTCATTGTATACACACACAAAAAAGAGAAACCTAACAAGGTAAAGTAACTTGTCCAAGTTACACAGCTGGTAAGTGGAAAGGGAGATTCCTGAGTCCAGGTGTGTGATTCCCGGGGCTCAGGTTTGTAACCACCACACTCTTCACTACTTTGCTATGGCCACTGGCTCCCCAATAAAATAATCAACAATCCACCACATCTAAAACTTCTCAAGTCAGCATCTTGCTTTCTCTTCTCTCCAATCCCTAGCCTGAGCCACCCAGCCATCAATGCTTGTCCACCCTGTTCTCATGGGGATTTCTTTGAAGATGAGGATTTCTCCTTCCTTTGGAACTTCAGCCACCCAGAGCAGCTTCATACTTTCCCCTCCCCACCCCTAGTCAGTGCCTCTGAAGAGAATTTTACTCCAGGAGACAGTTTTTCAGTGCCCCCAGCAATGGGCAGGGCAAATCACTTTGCCTCCTTGCGGATTAGCTGGCTCACGCTCCCTTTTATGTCCCCTCCTCCCTCCTCAGTTCACACCCAACCTCTTCCTGAAGCAGATGCTGGAGAGATACCAAAATAACAGCCCCCCAAATAATGATGACCGGTGGAAAAACAGCGGAGTCACCAAAACCTGGGACAGGCTTATGCTCCAGGTAATGCCTGTGATCATGGGAAGATGCCATTTTGTACTCAGACCAGTTTCCAGAGATGTATGTGTGGTTGGGAGTGAAGTCAAAGGGTGGGGACCACAGCCTCTAAGAGGATTTCCTTCACAAACGGACTTGACCCAGGCTTTTATTTGCCAGCAGGGGACTGGAGTCATATACAGGAGTCAGTGGGACACCTAGATCTATATTTTATTTCAAGCTATGATGTTGATTAGCTTATTGGTATAGGAATAATGACATTTTCAAGAAATTTAGATTAATCACACACTCTGTCTCTTAGAACTCAGGCATCACTTACATTAAAAGAAAAATGTTGCCTCCTCTATTTCACAGTGAGCTCAAATGGTAACTACTATCCATGTTGCGTATTTAGTATTTTTCCACACTTCCTGTAGACTAGTCCTGCTAAGGACCAGTCTATGGCTTGGCTTGATCACCGAGTTTTCTCTACCTGGCAATCAGACCTCATATCGAAGTTTACCTCAAATACCATCAAAAATCCAAATCTTTTTGACATCCACCATCACCTCTCAATTACTGTATGTACATAAATTCTTATCCCATGCACAGACCAACTCTCACATGGCCCTCGAACCCCCACCCCTAACCCTACCCCACCACCTACATTTCACAGTCCGTAAGCGGCAAACTCCCTTATGGCCTCCGCCCCTTCTTTGAACTCTCTCTTTACCCTCTATCTTCTGGAATTTCTTTAATTTCCTTTAATATTCCCATTTCAGTAACTTTTTTTTTTACCCTATTTGGACGATCAATTCATTGGCCACTTTTTTTTTTTTTTAGTTTCTAGTGCCTCTTGTTAGCAAGAATTAAGCTCTTCAAATGAAAATGTGAATGCTCACAGACTTGAAAAATCCACTTACCAACCTTTTAAAGCTCAGTCTGAAATAAGCTTGACTCAGACTTAACCATTTTTTCCCAAAATGCTGAAGTCCAAATATAGGATGATTATTTTCTTTGCTAATATATTTTCCATAATCCAGTAGCATAAAAGGACATACTTTACAGGTAGTTGATTTATCATACAGTTTGCTTGAATATATTTGTTCTAACAGTTGAGAGGTGCCCATAGTTTCAATTTCTTCCCTTGAAATATTCTAGCAGAATTTATAAAAAGGAAGGAAAGTGATATGAATCGTGTTTCGTCTTCTATCCTCAATCCTACCTGGACTGTAAGGATATTGGCTATGTGTTAATTGATCTTTCTTATGTAGAGGCATAGCTGTGTGTCACAGGATTTAGATTATTTTTCCAGTTTATTTTCTGCCATTATAAAAGTAATACATAATTACTATAGAAAATGTTAAAAATATTAAAAGTAAAACAAAAAATATTCATAATTTCTTTATAATTAGAAATTTTAGTTTTCTGTTTCTCAACTTGCTCATATGTAATATGAGACTAATTATGCCTCTCTCACATTTTTGTATCAAGATATTAGTATTTCCTAAGTATTAGTATTTACTGAGAGTTCACTATGAGCCAGGCCGCATACTACACATGTTAAGTGTATTAACTAATTTAATCCTCACAACTACTCTATATGGGGTAGGTACTTTAATTATCCCAATTTGGATAATTAAGGAAAGTTTAAATAAAGACAAAAAGCAATTAAGGAAACTGAGGTGTAGAGAGTTTGAATAACTTGTCAAAGTTTACAGAGCTCGTTAATGGCTAGTAAAGTAATAAATTTACAAACTCTAAAATGTAAGTTATCGATACCTTCAGCTCTCATTGGGGGATTTTTAGTAAATGTAAAATATGGTACCCTTCCCATATTTTCACTCTCTGTAAAATCTCAATTGCTACACTGATGGCTGTAATGAGGGCCAACGAAGAGAATTTTGTATTTCGCATCTGTCAACAGGACAGCTGCTGCGGTGTGAACGGTCCATCAGATTGGCAGAAATACACGTCTGCCTTCCGGACTGGGAATAACGATGCTGACTATCCCTGGCCTCGCCAGTGTTGTGTTATGAACAAGCTGAAAGAACCCCTCAACCTGGAGGCCTGCAAACTAGGAGTGCCTGGTTATTATCACAATCAGGTGAGTCCTTTCCCCCCAAGTCCTGCCAGAAGTTGCTTCTGTTCTCCATGAAGAATCTACTGGTTAACTATTGGTAATAGTGGCTCAGTAAGGAATTCTGCATCCTTTTTCCTATAGCTTATATTAATTATTTTCTTCCCTACTAGTAAAATGTGAATGTTAACCTAGGGCTGATCTGAGAAATTTTAATAAAATTAACAGAACATGAGAATAGCAGTAGCAAAATCCAAATTTGTTTAAATGAAAACAGTCTGTACAGTGTGTAGAACTGGTGTCTCAAAAAAAAAAAAAGTCTATTTTTGCAAAATGTGAATTGGAAGCAGTGGTATTAAAAAAGAATCTTTTGCCAGTTCTAAAGCAACGGTAATTGATGAGGGTGAATGCAGTAATTTATATCCCATTCCTTATTCAGTAATAATATAGGATATATATTTTTTAAGATTTTATTTATTTTCAGAGAGAAGGGAAGGGAGGGAGAGAAGGAAATATCAATGTGTGGTTGCCTCTCATGCGCCCCCTGCTGGGGACCTGGCCTGCAATGCAGGCATGGGCCCTGACTGGGAATAGAACTGGCAATCCTTTGGCCTACAGGCCTGCACTCAATCCACTGAGCCACACCAGCCAGGGCAGGATAATCTTAATAAAGTATTCAAATAATGATTTGGGTAGAAGGTAATTTACATAGAGATGGTTTTTGAGAAAGTATCTCCAGCCTAATGAGGATGATATAATGATGATAGAAACTAACAATTATTGAGGGCTTAATTAAATGCCAGAAACTGTTCTAAATGCCATACATATATTAACTTATTTAATCCTCAAAGGTGGGTGCCAGTATAATCCCTATTTTATGAAGGGGAAACTGAAATACAGAGATTCTAGTAAGTACCTTGCCCAAGTTCATGCAGCTAGTAAAGGGTAGGGTGAGGATTCAAACCATAGCAATTAGGCTCCAGAGCCAAGACTCAAAGCCAGGAAAGAACTTGGAAATATTCCCAAAAAGCCCTGAAGAGAATCCTCACCCATGTACAGTCAACCTCTAAAGTGCTATGCACTATTTTGCAAGTAACCACTTTGAGGAAAGTTAGTTGTGTGCCAGTTCATTAAATAATTGAGAAATGTCAGCCTCCTTAGTCTTGAAGGAAATAATACTAAGTGCACTTCCAGAAAGAAAGACACAACACTGCTGATCATTGGCCACACCTGGAAGGGTGCCTGGAAAAGAGAAGAAAAAGAAAAGATTTCAGAAAAGAAAAATACAGATTTCTCCAGAAAAGAAAAATACAGATTTTGCAGAGCTGTTCAAATGAACCCTCATTTAGCTTTTCAGCAAAATTGTTTTAATCAGTTATATTCAGACTGCTATAAAAATTAAATGTATTGCCTATAATCATAATGCACAATATAATTATCACTCTCAGGAGTCATAAAATGCTTTCAATGTTTCAACCCTGGAACTGACCCAGGCAGATATGTCTTGATTGGACTGTAACTTCACACAAACTGTATAATCTCTTTGAAAGGGAGAAAAAAAAATCTTTCCTTTCAGATAATCACTTTATCTCACAGCAATACTATTACACTCTAGTAACGAGGGACCTCCGCACTTGTTTATACAACCCTTCCGGCACCATCCCTTACAGTTCCTTGGCCTCACCTTGTCCTGAACATTTCCACCTCCACTACCCACCAGCTGCACCACAACTACAAACTTGTTATCACTCAACCCTACTCCCCAGCCAAATTCCTGAATTCTGAAATTCCTCTGTCCCTGGCTCCCCGTGTTCCTACTTTCCCGATCTCACTCATCTTCACCCGCAACGTAATCTCTTATCCATTAATGCTTTCCAATTCTCCCCATCCCTGTTCCCAAATTCTTACATATCACCCTTCTTCTGAGTTAGAGGGCCTGCAAATTTTCCTATAGCAATCCTGCTCCACAAATCAAAATAAGCTACCCTACTACCTCATATACTTCACTTCTATTCTTGCAGTTGCCACCTTGACCTAAATTGTAATTACTTGTTTGCAAGTCTTGTTTTTTTCTATTAGTCTACTTGAGGGTCATGCATTATTTAGTTCTGTATCTTCAAAACTTAGCATAATGTCTGGCACAAAGTAAGCATTGATAAATATTTGGTGGGTGGGCAAAGCAAAAGATGAATGGCTCTTTTTTTCATGTTCATATTGTATCTTTTCAAGGTCTACTTTGTACAAATGAATGCTAACAAAATTAGGGAAGTCATCCTAAGTGTGGTAATAATATGTCAACCACATTTTTATATAGCTTGTCAGATGCAGATGTGTATATTCTTACAAAGTCTGTCCGGAAAAATCCAACCATTGTTAATATCACAAGAACGGTTTGCACAATATCGATGAAACCTGAGAGCCAAGGAGAGTAGACTGGAATGTGCATGTGTGAACAATGACAACTTCACTGTACTAGTGAGTGGGGGTGGTAGACACCATTGAATGAGCATGTGTACTGTGTGGCAATCACATTCAAAATGATCAAGGAAGCAGAGCAACAAATCTGCATTGAATTTTATATTAAGCTTGAACACTCCTCTAGAGAAACTATTTGGATGATTCAGAAGGCTGCAGCTGTGGGCAATGTGATAGGCAGCTTCATCACAACATTGCGCCCACTCATGCATCATGTCTCATGCAGAGTTTTTTTGGCAAAACATCCAATCACCCAGGTGACTATAACCCCTCTACAGCCCAGATTTGGTACTCTGTGACTTCTGGCTTTTCCCAAAACTAAAATCACCTTTGAAAGGGAAGAGATTTCAGACCGTCGATGAGATGCAGGAAAATACAACAGGGTAGCTGATGGTGACTGGGAGTGTGAAGTCCCAAAGTGCCTACTTTGAAGGGGACTAAGGAATCATTGTCCTACATACAATGTTTCTCGTATCTTGTATCTTCTTCAATAAATGTCTCTAGATTTCATATTACATGGCTGGATACCTTCTGGACAGACCTAGTACCTCACAGTACATCTGCCCCAGAAATGTAATGTGTAAATTTTGATCACTACACTCAAGAATGTTATGATGGATGGAGCTAAGGAAGAACCAGTTAAGCACCATTATAATCATGGAAAGGCACTAAATGAGAAAAGGTGAAAAAAAGCTGTTTTTGTTTGTGAGCTCTATGAGGGCAAAACCCATTTCTGTCTTTTCACAGTTGAATGTACAGCCCAGGGCCTAGCACCTGACATAAGTGGATTAATATACATTATTAGAGAAATGATCACCTCCCAGAATTGTCAGGAGGATCAAGTGAATACTGGATATAAGAGTGTGAATGATAAATCCTTCACATATGATTTGTTGTTCATATCATGTTTCATTCATCCTACCAAGGTTTATTAGGTTTATTGGGCAAGGTACTTGTTCTAGAGATTCTAGAGATTCAAAAATAAACAGGATAGAACCCCTGCCCTTTTAGCAGTCTGGCTCCAGAGCCCAGATTCAAAGTCAAAAAAGAACATGGAAATAGTCCCAAAAAGCCCTGAAGAGATATATGATAAATAAATCACCAAACAAATGCATGATAAATTTCAGGTAGCGATAAATGCCATGAACAGAAATAAAGCAGGATATGTATATAGAGAATTATGGGGAAAAGGGTCTTTGTCTCTATCATTGTCAGGGAAGCCTTCGTTAAGAATGATATTGAGCAGAGTTCTGAATTAGTTAAGGGAATGAGACCCTCACTTAAAGGAGATTGGGCAAGAGGATTCTAAACAAAAGAGGCAGCCAGTGCAAAGGCCCTCAGGGAAGAGCATTCTTAACTGTTTGGAGGAACACCAAGGACATCAATATGGCAAAGTCATGTGGCAAGACAGAATGAGAGAAAGAAGAGTGGAAGGTCAGGATGGGTCTAGATTTGTAAGGACTGAAACTTATAAAATTTGTAGAGAGGGGCCCTCAGGAAAAACAATTATAAATACACACACAAAATTAGGTACCAGGCTTCCCTGACTAACATGGTTCAGTGGGTTGGGCGTCATCCCAAAAAGTGAAAGGTCTCTGGTTTGATTCCTGATCAGGGTACATGCCTGGGTTGCAGGCCAGGTCCCCAGCTTGGGGTGTGCAAGAGGCAACTGATCGATGTTTCTCTCGCACACTGATGTTTCTCTTCTTCTCTTTCTCTCTCCCTTCCCCTCTCTCTAAAACTAAGTCAATAAAATCATTTTAAAATATTTTAAAAATTTAAAAATTAGGCACAAGGCCTTGAAATGGTCTTGCAAATAGCAGCCCTGAAGCTCTAGCTCACTAGCTTTGCAGTGAAATAGCCTCTGGCAGTGAGGCTGGGGACATAGAGAGAGGCAGGGCCATATCATGCAGTGGCTATAGGCCACTGTGAGGGCCTAGGATGTCATTTTAAAGGCATGGGAAGCCATTGGAGGGTTTTGAGCAGGGATGTGAAGTGATCTGACTCCTGTTTTACAAGGATGCCTCTGGCATCGTATGAAGACTAGTAGAGTGCCAAGAGTGGATCAGGCCTGTGGAAGACCAGTTAGTTGGCTCTTGAGGTAACCCTGCCGTGAAGAGGGCACGGTAGACCAACGTGGTAGCAGGAAGTACTACGTGTTTGGATTTGAGATATCTTGTAAAAGTAGACGCGGCAGGATTATATATGACGTCAAATAAGAAAAAAATAGTTTAGGGTAATTCCAAGATTTTTCATTTGGGCCTCTAGGTGAATGGAGGTGCCTGTAACAGAAATGGAGAAAAATGAATTAGGGAGAAGTCAAGGCATTGCAAAGATGAGGCATGCCAGTGGATTGACAAGGGACTGGGATGGAAAGGACAGAACCTCAAGTGGCCACCTGTAGCCACTGGGTGGGGTCTAAGCTTCAAAGTCAGCCTTTCAAGGACATTTTCCTGTGAACCTCTGTGGTTCAGGGAACCAGTCTGTTTTTTTTGCATTTCCTAGGCATTCTCTGTGATTCCCAGGGCTTTAAGGAGGTCACTCGGAGAGCAGGTCTAGACCTACACGTGTGTATCACTCCAGCACTTCGCATAGTGACTAGCAGAGAGTGCCATATAAAAACTTAACTAGATTATGGCATGCATAAATGAATAATTTGATGGATAAAAAGTGAGTCACGCTTTTGCACACATGCCAAGACTTTTCAAGGTCTCAGTAGAACCAATAAAGGTATGTTGAAATATGATGTCAAATGAAAATTTAGAAAGCATGGTATAGGGATCCCTTTAATGATTAAAAAAAAAACAAACTCTCTTGTTTTCATAGACCAGAAGAACTTTTATTCAAAAACAGACAAATCACAAAGTAACTACCCTCAAACAATTCGGCGATAAAATACTTCGGAAAAGAAAAAATGCAAATTTTATTCAGAATATTTTACATTACTCACATATTCAATATGAAAAAATGGTAAACCAAAAAAGCAGCACCTTTTTTAAAAAAGCTTTAATTGGAAGTAGTTACAAAAACAATAGCAAGACCTTTCTTAGATTGAATGATAAAGACCCAAATAAAGGTGATATAGAAAAGTTCTTTGACAGAATTATTTCTATTCCCTTGGGCAAAGCACTGTTAGTAACTGGCATGGGGATGTGGAAATAGACTTGGATTCACATAACAGTCTGCTTCCTCGCTCATCTCTTACGTTTCTCTGGTTCCTCTCACACTAATGTGGAATCGTCCACTTCTCCAGGGCTGCTATGAACTGATTTCTGGACCAATGAACCGACATGCCTGGGGGGTTGCCTGGTTTGGATTTGCCATTCTCTGCTGGACTGTGAGTATTTCCTGGCACGTGCTTTTTTTCTGAGAGGACGATAAAGAGAGAACTTGAAATTGCTCCTGGTTAGCCCAACCACACTAGACTGTCTAGAAATAAAACTTCAGACCTGAGGGCTAGTCAGGAAGTTGCTAGCACCTGAGTGAGGCCAGCAGATTCCCCTGGGAGGTTGGGAGTTTCCTTCCCCTGCCAGGGAAGGGATGGGCCCTCTTAACCAGATCTTTTTTCTGGGTGGTTGAGATGCACTTGCCTGCTCCTCCGGGTCTCCGAATCTCACAGTGCAGCATAGTGCGCTCTCAAAGACTGTTGTCTCTCCAGATGGCTCCTGCCAGACACTAATTTGCCTGGCTCCTTCCAAAGAGCTGCCTCAGTCAGTCTCACCTGTCCAGCTGCCCACGTTATTGGATGCACATACAGCAAGAGGGTGGAGCAGTGGTTCTCAGCCCTGGCTACGCATCAAAATCTCCTGGGGGAGCTTGAAAAAAACAAAGCATGCCTGGACCCCAACTTCTGATCTAGGGGCAGAGCCAAGACATTTTTAAAATTGTCCAGATGATTCCAATTTGCTGTCAGGATTAAGAGTCACTGCGTTAGGGAAGCAGTCCTAAACTTGTAGTTTCAGTACCCCCTTTACTCTCTAATATTACCAAGGTCTTCAAAGAGCTTTCAACTATGGAGGATATCTTTATTGATGTTTACACTACTGAAAAGCAACACCAAAATTTCAAAATACTAATAACAATAATAAATCAATTGCATGTTAGCGTTAACAACATATTTTGTGGAGAAAGTGGCTATTTTCCAAAACAAAAGGAGTAATGAGAAGAGTGGCATTATTTTACATTTTTGAACGCTTCTTCAATGTGTGGCTTAAGAGCAGACAGCTGGATTCTCATATTCAGTTTTTCAGTCAATCTGTCATAATATGTTGTTTAGGTTGAAGGATTTAAAGAAAATCCATCCTCACACAGATAATTGGGAAAAAAACAAATGTTTCAATACCCTTACCTAAAAATAAGCGTGAATATTCTTCTTCGGTATTATTACACAAAACTTGACAAGTAGTATTCTGAAGGGTTCGTTGCAATATGGACTCTAAAACTATGTCAATTAACTTTTCAGACTCTGTTACATTAGAATACATTACATTGGTTTGTCTTGCATTTGGCATAAATCTTTTAACCCACACATGACTCTATAACATCATGCATTGGTTATTTGGAAAAATATTGATTCATTGTGTTATGTAATCTTCCAAAAGTTGGTTGATTTTTTCATGCAATACCAAGAAATCACAGTCACTGATACTGCCACAGTGGAAAAGAACTTAAGTACTGGGATGCTAGCAAGTTTGTGGTGACAAATACAAGTTTTATGATTTTGGTTTGAAAGCTCAAATTTATCACTAGCAAAATATATTGTCAGCTGTTTTCCTCAAGGTAACAGATTCACTTTATAACTTTTCCAGAAAATGTCTGCCAAACACCCAGCTTTAAATAACCATAGCTCATCTGTTAGTCATTTTTTTTTCAAGTAAAAATTGTGCTCCATGAAAAATATCCAGTTCAGTGCACAACTCAAACAATCACCCAAGTGCTTTTCCTCAAGACAATCATCATATTTCAGTTTATAACCAAACTGCTTGAAGCATACTTCCTTTCTGTCCTACGGAATATAACAAAGGTGTGTACTTAAAGGTCAACATTTAATACAATTACTAATTCTTACTGCTTCATTGAGGACAATCTCAAGTAAAGCTAGCTTTTTTTTCTCCTGCAAGTGCCTTGCAGTGAAGAATATAATGATAACCAATACAGTTTATGCCTCTGCCTTGAATCTTGCTAAGATGCCAGCAGTTTTAACCTCTACCGCCTTTGCACCATCCGTGCAAATGTGAAAACAGCAAAAAGGGCAACTAAAGTTTTAATATTGTTATGTAAATATTCTTTCATTGTAGACCCCTAAAAGAGCCCATAAGTTGTTTGTACACCACGCTTGAAAAAATGTTGAGAATTGTACACCTGAAATCTATATAATTTTATTAACCAATGTCACCTCAATAAATTCAATAATTAATTAATTAATTAATTAAATGTTGGGTTTGGGGTGAGAAACTGAGCGAGGCAAGAAGGAAGGGAAAATCAACTGCTTTGAGAGGTCTCCCATGAGCCCTCAATGCCCCCTCTTAGGAGCCCCCGCGACACCCTGCACACACCTCTAGCTGGGAACCACTCCTCTGTGAGGGATTTGTCTCTTCCCAAAAACCTCGCAACCAGCTGCTTTTTGTATCCCCAGTGCCTAACAGGACGTGCAGTAGGTGCTTAAGACTCGTTGAGTGAATAAAAAATGGTGAACGGTGAAGTTTGTTTTATGTCATGCTAGCAGAAACTGTATGGGCTCATGTTTAAAGGCTTTTGAGATTCATAGAACTCCAGAACAGTTGAAATCTTTGATATGTCTAGAAGCATCAGATGGTCTAGGCTCTGGATCTTATAAGTCTGCTTGAAGTACAAAATAGGAAAGGGAAACTAGACCTATTGAAGGCCTGCTACAGACAAGACACCGGATCAAATACTCTTAACATTAAATCCCCACAACAGTAGCTAGGTAGGTGGCCAGACTCCTATCTTAGAAGGAATAGAGAAATTCAACAGAGTTCCTAAGAACTGTGCTCAGGAAGAGCTCTTGGGCACGCCCAGTTCACTGCTGCTTGTGGAGGGCTTTGCCATAGTGGCTAAACAGATAAACTCTGAAGCTGACTGCCTGGGCTTGAACCCCAGCTTTATCACCTGCTAGTTCTATGACCTTGTGTAAGTTACTTATCTTCTCTGGGCCTCAGTTTCTTAATAGAGCTTTGGAATCATTAAATTGAACTATACATGTAGGTATTAGATCAGGGACTGATATATAGTAAATTATCAATAAACATTAGACTATTATGTTGGGAAATGCCCTGTCTGGTTTCAGGGACTGTAACCCCACCGACAGGCAAGAGGGCCCCAAGGCTGGAGATAATCAACGAGGTCTTGGGAAAACAGGCCACTGAGGAGACGAAACCTGTCTCCCTGGCAGGGGTGCAGCCCCTGCCTCCGTCACATCACCCTGCTTGGCCCTGTGATGGTCAGTTGTTGATGACGGGTAAGTTCTCTCATGAGGAGAAACAACCAAAGACAGACATAAGCTGGTGTGGGCAGCGGGACAAGGACTTGGGGGACATGGAGAAAGGGCAAAAGGGCCCGCACCCCTTGGCTCAACTTGGACAAGGCCGGAGGCGTCATTCTATCTGAAAGAAGCCTCCTTATCTCTTGGTGGCTCTGCCCTGCCCACCTGGCTCAGGCTTGAAACAACACTAAAGGCAGGTACAGCCCTAAACTGGATCAGACCCTGAGGACAATCAGATCTAGAAGTAAGTTCCTCTAAGCATGCTTTGTTCTTCCCTCAAAAGCTATAACTGGCTCATGCTGGAAAGGAGATTTACATTATTCATAGACTCTGACCCGGGGCAGATCTCTTGTGTTCCTCCAATTGTTATCTATGATCTCTATTTGTTTTCTATAAACATAGCCTTTTGACATTGATTGCTGAACTTCGCATCCATACCCCTGTGCATATGGTTCCCAGTAAAAGCCTTTGGACACAGGGGTTTGGTGCTTTCTCCACTAGAGGGAAGTTGCCATGTCCCCTCTCCTGACAAACAGAGAAGTGTTTGCAATGACCCATGTTTATTGCCTCCATTCGTGACAACCCCGGGATGGGCTCTGAGGGATTCAGAGCCCCATTCCCTCCTCAGCTGGCTCCAGACAGTGACCCTCAGATCCAGGAGCGCCTGTGCCCCATGCTCCCCCAAGACGTGTTGCCCCCCACGACACTATTATTATTACTTCATTATCTCATTCAATGTTTTTAACTCTGGGATCAGTGAAGATGTTATTATATTACTTTACAGATTCAGGGAGTGACTGGCAGATCTGTCATAGAACCCATATATTCTAACCCCTTGCCTGAGGCAAGAATCTTGAGTTCCTTGAGGGAGGCTGTTCATCACAAGCACTTTTGGGAAAAGAGAGAGTCCCCTGGGAAGAGAAGTTCATACTAGAAGCAAGAAATTCATATTCCAAAATGACACATACTAAAAGTAGGAATGCACTAGAGGGTCATAAGCCCTGATGGGAAGTAGGAAGAATTCCCAAGGAGGCTAGTGTAACACAGAAATGACTGATGTTGCTCAGGCAAGAGTACCCTTTGATATCCAGTGTCAGAAAGCCTGAATGAGCCTAACGTCATTTTTCTCCCAAGTATGAGATGTTCCTAAACCAATTCCTTATTATTTTTCTTTGGGTTTTTTTTTTCTTTTGTATTCTAGTTTTGGGTTCTCCTGGGTACCATGTTCTACTGGAGCAGAATTGAATATTAAGAAGACAGTGTCTCCATGGTCCCACCTTCCCCCAGTGACTCTGGATTTGGTGCTGGAACTGCTCTCTCCTGTTACGCCATGTGTGCCCCCCAGAAACATGTGTTCTCACTCAAGTGGCCATGTCAGTTCTCACCACTGTTTTCACCCTAGTCTAGGATTCTACAACATTTCATTGACTGTAGAAGCAGGAGAATTTGGAAAGGAGGTAATAACTACTCCCATCTCTGTTTATTTTTAATTTGAGAGCATAAAGAGAGGACCTTGTGTTATCACAGCTAGCCAAGCCTATTTGAACAGCAAATATGTCTGTATTTTTCACAACTTTCTAAAAGACACTTTCAAAGGCTTTCATTCCTCAGTATTTTCTGTGTGAAAGAACTAAGGAAAGGTGCTGAATTATATCTTTTGCTTTTTATTCTCTATATATGGAGACTCGGGTGATTAATGCCACATTGGGATCCTTTTACTCTCCAGGACAATGCCCGCTCTTGAGTTATCAATGGCCAAAATTTCCTCTTGGATATTGTAGAGTTAGACATGTGTTCAGTAACCTCAACCTCCCATTAATTAAAAGTTTTGGAATTTCTGAGGCAAAGTAGAAGCCTTTTATATGTATTTACTAGTCTCAACTAGAAACACCTTTCAAATAGAGAAGCAAGCCAGCTACTAGATAGGTGATTCATGGTGATTTTTGTTTACTGTTAAAATGTTTCCCTATTGAACATTTGTGGCCCTGAAGAAAGGTCATATAATTCAACATGTCTTATAAATAAAGAGGGCTCTTAAATATATTCACGTTCTTTTGTTTTTACCAGCATCCTAATTTGTCATATATGAGTCTAACAAAATGGATTTTCCAACACAAGAGCTTATTAGGCTCATGGGAATTAAAGTTTAGAAGATGGAAAAAGAAGTAGGGTGTGGTTTCCTGTTGGACATCAGTAACCCTGCTGTACAGTTAAATGGTTTGAACTTCTATGTTTACCTTTACTTTTTGCTCCTGCTACACGGAAGCCCAGAAGTGGTAATGGAGCTGCTGCCACTCAAATCCTTTTCCTCTCTTGATCTTGGAAGCAAGGGAAACATCCCTGACTCCAACTGCTGAACTGTCTCCGAAGAAAATATACTTGTCAATTCAGGGTCATACTCCCAGCCACCCCAGTCACAGGGAGTACCCCAATGCCACACTCCCAACCAGGTTCCTGTGACTTAGGCTGAGCCCTGGGACAGGGAGAGGTAAGAGAGGAACAGAGGACATGCCTCTACACTACACCTGGGGGTCTGAAAGCCCATGTCCTGACACACAATCAGCTTCTCCTGCCCCTGTCTCACCTTATCTCTTCAGGCAGGACTTGAGTGTCAAAGTAAATAATTACACCTGCACTTGGCTGAGAAGGTTCTGTCTGTGTTTTTTAGAAGAAAAAAGAACTCTGGGCTAAGCTTTGAAATGCCCCTCTCCCACATCCCTTTCCATATCCTCTTGTGTTCTGGTGCCTTTTTCTCCCACTGCCAACCAGGTTTTCCATTGCCCTCCTGCTCTCCACTGGCTCAGCAAGTCCTGCCCACCCTGCCTTCCTCTCCAGGGCTTCATGCTTCACATACAAAATTCCACTCTTTTTGTGACTGGATCTCAACTAGGTTAAGGTAAACCTTTTGGAAAACTAATTCATACTAAGGGGTGAGTGACAACTAGTGCCCACTCTCTTTATCTTCTCTGCAGGTTTTTTCCTTGGTAACAGAAATTGATCTCTAGTTGGTAGACTCCGAGGTAGCCATGGGAGAAGGAAAGAACTATTGTAAAGCAAGATGGCCCACCTGCCATCTTACCACCTGCCTTCTCTACCAAGAAGTAACTGAAAGAGAATGAGTCATCAGTTAGTAGATGCCTCACCCCTGCAGATGCATGTGGACAGGCTCTGGGGCTCCCAAAACCAAATAAGGCCCTGAACCCAGGTACCCACTATGTCCAAGCCCCCAACACTTGGGGAGGACACACCCTTCAGCCATGACAGACCTAGGCCCAAGGATTCTCCTACAGGAAGTCCAGCCATTCAAGACTTCTGCGCATCCTGCTATAGGGTTTTCAGTTTAACCTCAGGGTAGTTTGTGCTCTGCCCAGTTCCTGCTTCCATCCCCTCTGCCTTCCCTGGAAACCCAGCCTTTCCCTTCTTCCATCTGGCATCTGACACTAGAAGCGGGTCTTACAGTGAGACCCAAGCCATTATCCCGGGTGAGGCCCAGGCCCAGCCTCCCTAGAGCCACCTTCAGCTTCCCCCCAGACCAGGGAGGGGAAAGAGAGTTGGAGAATCTGGTTGCTGGCACGTTGCTGGGTTTAAGACATGTCCACACAAAGCCATCTTATGAAACTTCCCACTTCTACAACAGTCTGTCCTCCTGTTTCTCAGGTGGGCAATGAAAAATGATTACCTAACACCGGAAATATGTCAGACCAAGTCTGGGTTAGGTTTCACCTGATTGCAACACCAGAGGGGTCATTCTGCCCTGTTGATTGGACTTTCCTTCCCTAGCTTGCTACTCAGGCTCCTGGCAGGCTGTTTACACTGAGCATTAGAAAGCCCACTGCTCATATTATCAAGTCTGTAGCTTTTTCTTCACCCCTCCGCCTCCGCCAACCCCATCAGCTAGAATAAATAGGAACTGCTTATTTTCTAAGCAGCAGATCTGGTACTCTCTGGATACCCAATAAGAAAAGAATAATAATAATCACCATCATGAGAATCTGAAAATCTAATCTCCTCTCTCTTTCACCCCAACACCAGCCAAACTGATTGACAAGCTGCGCCTTGGTTGAAGGATTGGAAACTGAGCTTGTTTCTCATTTCTATTGACTGTACAATTTCATTTCTCCTTCTGTATCTAGTATTTCCTCTAGTTTCTCTTCCCTGCTTCACCTCACCCAGATTCTTATCACATCCTATGGGAGGGGGGTACACTGAATCAAAAAAGAAACCCGAAGTAGGCTGGTTGTAAGCTATTGAGTTTGCTTTCATGTGTGACATTTTTATGATATGGCTCAAGTGTCCACATCCAATGAGGAGATCCAAAAACAGCTTGGGAAAAAGGCCGCATTCCTGAGAAATTCATAGTTCTCAGATTTTTCTCCAACCCTCCCCGCCCCCAGGTCCCCAGCAACTCCCAACACACACAATTGAGGGAGACAAATAGCCAAATCCTGGGGCTAAAGAGAAATGGTGCCATCATGCACTGCTTTCTAGTGGCCTCTACTCTGAGTTACTCTTGGGAGGAAAAAAAAAAAGTCCCTGACCTTCAGAGGCGAGCCTGGCACTCACGACGAGGCGTGTTATTCTCTTATTAGATGTACACAATCTCGGAGAATCCCAGCCTCAGATAAGGCTACTCTGTGACCAAGATAACATGAGGCAAAGCAAGGCCACTTTATAATTCTATCTAAGCACAAAAGAAAAAAAAAATCAGGGTCACTGTGCCATCCACAAAACACCAAACACACCCTTTCTGAGCTAGAATGAGTGGCTGCTACGTGTTTACCCATTACAGCTCTAATTTCCTGCTAGTCCTTCCATATGGATAAAATGTATGGAGGTGTACCATCACAGAATTGTCCCCGCTTTCTGACAGTATCCCACATAGAGCATATCTTGCTTCCTCAGACCCTCCCCAAGTGACCCAACACAAACCCAAATGGTCTCATAGTTTCTTTTTAACTCCCTTTTCTTGAGATACCTCATTGTTCCCCATGGTATGTTCTCAGTCACTGCAATGAGTCATAATCCCAATTTATTTATCCACAGATGTGTTCCTGAGAGATCTTTTGTTGAAGGACATCACACTCTCCAAATGTTTGCCCATCCTTATTTCCCCTTTGTGTATCTGTTGTCTACTACCATGAAGTGGTTAAAACATGAGCGTTGGATGGAGTAAGATACCTGGCTCCAAACCCCAGCTCTGTATGACTTTGGCAGGTCCCTTGGCCTTTCAGAAACTGCTTCAGGGAAACATGTCTACCCTCACACGGAACTGGGAGAATTCAGCAAGAATTCTGCTTGGACCATAATCCCTGGGAACATGCCAACTAATGTCATCTTGCTTCAATTTATTGCAATGAGTTTAATGACCAAATATTTTGGTCCAAATTAACTGGCCCTCAAACAATAGCTATGAGTAATAGCTTTTCAGCAAAACTCCTACTCCATAGTGGAAGAATGTATTAGGGTCATCAAGATAAGGCATTTTAATGGATACATCTCAAGTTTTGTGTATTATTTTTAGCTACAAATAATATCTCTGCCCATGATGCCTTCACAGAGAAATCTCATCATATCCTGACAATATGATGTTCTGAGGGGGTGAGGAAGATCAAGATTGGAGTCAAGAGAGCCTCTTAGCAACTTTGGGGAGTTACTTGAGTCTGTTTTCTCTTTGCAGCTACAAGGCCGTTGGAAAGTTAAAATTAAAAACACAGGGAAATTGACTAATAAGCAAGCATTCAGTTATTGCTATGCCCTATCCCTTACCAACCTCTCCCCCAAAGTCCAAAATTATAAACATATACCCCCCACACATGCACACAGGGTTCAATTTTATTTGCATTTTCAACTTCAACAGTTGTCAATAGAATGGTGGAGACTTTGCCTGTATAGGTATTCTCCCTGGGAATGGGACCTCTCAGCCCTTTTGAGACCTATCAGACCCTCTCAGGGAGGCAATAGCTTACATATATAAGGAACTAAGAAACAGACTTTTAAAAAGTTTTGGAATGTGATTGGCAAAAAAGAAATTATGAAACGTACCTGACTATGCTCCATCCTGTGGGACATGTTAATAGCTTTTGACAGGGACTGCATATGTATAGGACATGGGGAAAGTGGAGGTTTCAAGCCTGCCAGAAAACATCTCATCTCACCCAAGAATCCACTCACAGAGCATTTGGGGGCCCTGGGAAAACCTGTCTGATAGGAGTTTGAGTGGAAATGAGAGCACTAAGGGCCAAAAAAACTAGGAGGACATCTGGGAAAAAGTTCAAAGAGACCAAATGAGAATGGAACATACTCTTTAAGGCCCAGAAGTACCAAGCTTCTCTAAGAGCTTGGACAGGGATTTAGAGTCAGAAAAACTGCCTTAAATAATGAGAGAAGCCAGGTAAAGGAGTTATTGTGTAATGGTTTTTGTAGTAGGAAGACCTGAGTGTGTGCCCCGAGTTTGTGCCCCGAGTTTGCCACTTACGAGCTGTGGGACTTCTGGCAAGTCGCCCCACCTGTTTTTAACCTCCACTTCCTCAATCTGCCCTGCTTATCTCAGGATTCCACAGGATCAATAAAGTCCATGTAAAAACACCGCAGCCATAGAGTGCCACAAGTGGTAGTGTGAGGGAAAAAACAATAAAAACTTCAAAGTAGCACAGCCTTCATGAGCAGTATTGTGATATCCAAATAGACCGCACCCATATAATCCTTATATAATCCTTAGCAATTATGGTAGGCATATCTACAATACACACACAAAGTTGGCCTCTAAGTGGCAATTGACAATGAAAAATACACAGTGCAGGAATTAGAGGAAAGCTCGGTTCCTCAGAGACCAAACTCTCCTGCCCAGCTGTGACAGGGCAGCAGGATGGCAGCCATCAAGCAGATGGCCACATGCCTGCAGCCAGTCACTGGGCCTCTATTGTCAGTGCCGGGAAAGTGGCCCAGTGGCAAAATAAAGGTCTCAAAAAGTTATCTTCTGCCTCAAGAAGTTTCATAATGAGTCATTTAAATGACTTGTACCTTATCTTGGCTGAAAGAATTATCTGAAGAATAGTAATAGGCATGGTACAGGGATTACTAACATTTTTTAAAATGCAGATGGCGCCCTGGCCAGTGTGGCTCAGAGTACTGAGCACAGGCCTGTTACCCTAAGGGTCGCCAGTTTGATTCCCAGTGTAGGGCACATGCCTGGGTTGCAGGCCAGGTCCCCAGCAGGAGGCACATAAAATGCAACCACACACTGATGTTCCTCTCCCTCTCTTCCCCTCTCTAAAAATAAATTTTTAAAAAATCTTTAAAAAGAATAAATAAAAATGCAGGTGGCTTGTGGATAGCTGAAAATGCACAGGGAGTTTCCATATGGTAGTAACTGTATTTCATTTCCATTGAATGAGAAATGGAGTTCTCATAGATCCTCAAATTCCTTATATGCATGATTCTTTTGCAGTACCTTCCCCAGCCATGAGGGACCCACAGGCTCCAAACTGGGGACCCCTGGCATGGGCTGCTGACCACTATGATAGTTCAGTATGTATGTTATTATATTTAAGAAAATTGGAATAGAATGCTAAAGAAAGCTTCTGCAGGAGAGAGAAGATCAAGAGAGGGAAAATATGAAAACCATCATTCTTTCTGTGCTAATCAAGAAACAAACAAAGCTTTTACTTGTCCCTACGAGTTAAAGGTAAACCAGGCCAGCCCTAGGTAAACCTATCATGTCTATAAAATGTATTTTCCCTTCAAATTCTCCTTAACCACTTGGGTGGTGACTGTTGTCTTTCTTGGGAGTCCATTCCATCCCTCTTCCTGTTTGGAAAGGATATTATTTATACTTTATGGCTGGCAATGATTCATGTTCAAAGTTTAACAAAGTGTCATATAACAATGATGGACTGAGAGACCCTGGGGCACAGCGGCATAATACTTGTTTAAGAACATGCTTATCCACGTAATATGTGTGTATCCATTCACCTATGCAAACGAAACACTTTCTTTCTGTGGACTCAGTATCCATCTCCTATTTCCCTCCTTAGATTGTCCTCCCATGTCCCCGCCCCCGCCCCAGGAAACTCAGCAGTACTGGTGGCTTGCTTCTCTCCCAAATTACTGCCAGTACTCAAATCACTGCCATCGTCCCACCTTCCTCCTAAATGAAAGGCTTTCCAAGCCCTGGGCGCCACTCCTTCCTGTCCTATGACCAACCAGCCATGCCCCTTTGGCCAGCCCTGCTGCACCTGTTACCTATAATGAGAAAGGAACCGAAAATGATGAAGAGAGCAAAACCACCATGTGGCCAAGGAACCTAGACACAGAGGCACCTGCCATGGGCCTCAAGCGGATTACACAAGGCAGCTGTACACAGGCAGAACAGGAGAGAGGCACAGAAGGATGAAGAAGAGAGGGAATAGGAGGGCTTGGTCTCCTTTGTTTTGTTTTTAAGCTGTTTAGCATTATGGATACTGAAATAAACATATCTGTAGGCCTCACACAATAGTAAAAAACAAGATTGAGCACCCAAAGTTTTTTTATATTTTACTGCAGAGGTATTTTTGATGTATGATTAGTTAATATGTAATTTGTAAACTGCTAATTCATATCCTACATATACAAAATCATTTTACAAAAATGCTTAAAAAACTAGCAGATAATGTATTTTTCTGCTGGGGTCTTACTGGAAGGAGCATCCGGCAGGTGACACCATCTGCACAGTATTAGCAGCGGCGGCAGCCAGTACAGCCATGGCTGCCTCTCCATCTGACAGTGCCGCCACCTCTTAAATCCCCAAGTTTACTGCCTCTTGGTTCATCTTTCTCCACCTTCCTGCTGCTGACTTCTCACATGGAACCCACGTCTTCACAGATGACCACTCAGGATAAAAGGAAATACATCTTCGTACCTTTTTCCCTCCATCAAAACAAGTCTGATTTTCTGACATTCAGCAATCTTATTTCCTATGGACTTTTTTATCCCAAAATGTATCACTTCAAACTTAAATCTTCAGTTAGCATTCTCAAGTAGACTGCATGATATCTTCTGAGTCTTCCTTTTATACTTTGTCCTTCAAGTATCTATAATATTTTAACCTTCATGATCAAAACAAATAAAAAAGCTGTTTTGCTAGAATTGTTTTACATTCCATCTCACCAGGAGCTCTGCTAAGAAAATACTAAAAGGAAAAAGTCAGCTTGATAATTAGCTGCAACAAGTTCTTAATGTGTGCTACTAGGGCAAGAATCTAGGCCAAAATCATTCCAAATATTTGGTTCTTCCAAACATCACCAGACAATCCAGGGTCATGGGCCAGACCAGAAATCCACTGTGATGTTGATATATAAAGGATTGTAATCCACAGACAGTAATTTATAAACACAACTGTTCAACCCATCTGTTCTCCAGACTCGTGACACCTGATGTAACAGCTTCATCCTAAAGATAAAAAGAACAAATACGAATGGTAAGACAAAAGGTAACATATATTTCCATTGCTTTTGATCTTACTGCAAAATTTAGCAAAAGCATCTTGGTAAATTACCCCACCTGTTGGATTTTCTACTGCAAAAAAAGTTTATTTTCCCTATCCAAGGTAAGGGACACCAATGTTAGCCATGGTTCATGTGTTCATGTGTTGAACCCCAAGCGAGACCCTGGAGAACAATGATAAAAAGTGTCATATAATAATGGCACTTGCATGGAGTGAATCCCCAGTCTACAGGACAGAAGGACATACAGGTAACATTGATACAATATGAAATGTATCATCCACTGCTAACAGGTCCTTGGATAAGCTTCAGGGGATCTATGACTCCTCCAATATTGTTGGGAAAATTGTGTCTGTATGCAGGGAGGGCACATAGCTTTCCTAACAGTCTCAAAGAAAGTCAGGATGTAGGTAGAGAAGGATGAGTTAAGGGCACCTAACTTCATGATGGAATCTGCAGAGGGGTCAGAGAGAAGGAAAATTTGACTGAGGCTTAAAAGAGAAGGAATGCATTAAGTGAAGAAGGTGAGGGAAAGGATAGAGAGCAAGAGAAACCATCCTGTGCAAGATGCACAGACATGCAAACCGACAGAACGCATTTGAAGAAGAAGAAGTAATTATGCGGCTGGAGCCCTGGGATGTAGGAAGAGTGGGTGGGTGGTGCTCTGAGGGGTCTCTGGGAGCCTAGCAGGGAAAAACAATCCATTTCAGTTAGAGTAACAATGTGGGTGGAGATCAGGAGCATAATGTTGACCTAAAAAAAAAAATCAGAAAATAATATGGCATGATTTCATTTATAGAAAATTGAAAAACATGCAAACTAAACAATCCTTTGTATAGGGGTACAAATATATGAGGAAACAAGAAAACTGAGATATAGCATAAATTATAATTATCACAAATAATCATCATAAAAATTCAGGAAATTGTTGCCTCTTGCCATGGGAGTGGGCCAGATATGGAATTAGGGAGGGCCCCACAGATGAAAGGCGTAAACTGGGTGAGGGATACCACCAGTGTTCATGGTATCAAGAATATTCAGATTTTTCATACAATTTATAAGTATTCTTTTTATCTACTCACTAATAATTATTTTTTATTTAAAGAGAAAAATGCATGCCTATGGATAAGCACTATTAACACATGGAAAATAGAAATAGCTATTTAGTTAAAGTGGTAGATTCTAACAAAGGGACTAAATGCCTTTTAATATTATTTTAAAATACAGACTCTAATAACGCTCAATAATATTAAGCTAAAAGCCCATGAATATTGTTTTAAAATGTACTCTAACAAAAGGGCCAAAGCCCTCTAGTGCTGTTTTAAGAGTCAGAGGGAATAAAACAGAAAAAACACAGATTCTTCAGTCATAGTCCCATAAAGAACTGGCTTATCTGTCAGCATTCCTTAATGAAATGGCTAATTCCTGGGGCAGAATTACAAGGTGAGCCTAGAACAGCACATCCCACCAGAGCAAAGGAAGGAAGCTCTCAAAACTAGTGTATTTATGTCAGAGGACTCAGGAGTCAACACGAAGAAGATTCCATTTGCCAAAGACAAGGCAAGCTAAGCATTGACAAGAATGAACTCCATCCTGAAGGATGCCAGGGAACATCAACTCATCATTTTGAAAAGTGAAAAAGCTATGCTGATTCTTTCCCTTAATTCTGTTTTTTCTATAAGAACCATATCCCAGGGCACTCAAACAGATGAAAAAGGCAAGTCCTTCTTTGTAGAAAGATCTATCTAATAGATGCAGAAGGAATGATACACTATCAGAATTTTGTAATCCCTAATTGAGTCATAAATTTAGGCAACAATCAGCAATGGCAACAGCTGCTAAAATTATTAGGTGAAAACTGATGGGAAGCCTCACAATGGGAAGACAGGGCTGACAACACCTGAACCCACAGATCCTGGTATCAAAGACACAACCAGACATCCTGTCCTGTTGTGACACGAGAGGAGGTACATGGCACCATCCATGAAGTGTTCCTGCCCTGAAATAGTACTGACTCCGTCAAGCCTCAAGACCTAACTCCCAGTTCACAAGGAAATGCAGAGGTCAAAGGCACAGACTAAGTTCTACCACTGGGACGCAGCTGGCAAAATCCCCAATGTAGGAAATTCCATCAGACAAATGACTTGGCTTTTTTCAACAAATAAATTGCAATGGGGAAAAGAAAGGTGAGAGGGAATCTACAGATTAAAAGAGATTTCAGAGAGACCATGCAAATGCAATGTGTGTATGGAGTTTGTCTGGATCCTAATTGGAACAAGGCAAAAAAAAAATTTTAAAGCATTTATGCAACAATCAGGGAAATCTAAACATTGACTGGATATTTGATGATATTAAGACAGTATTGTTGTCAGAGAGAGAAGATGGCAGAGGAGTGAATGGGAGTCACGCTGACCTCCTCCCAAAACCAAACTGGAATTGTGACTAAATAGTGGAGTAATCACCTGGAAAACAATGGAACGATAGTGGGAGAGGAGCCTTGGAGCCGTGGACAGTGGACTCGTCTCCCACACATCCCAATGGGTGAGAAGTGCGGTGGAGGCTCAAGAGGGTGGGCTGGGTGCCCACGGGCACTAGCACCAGAGGGACATTGAAATGGCCAGTTAGCTTCCCCCGAGAAGAACAGGGTCTGAATCATAAAGAGGGACCCCTAAACTACAGCAGCTAAAACCAGAAAATACAGACAAAACGCAACCCCGAAAAGCTTAGGGGTGCTCTCTGCCAGAGACAGGCGGCTGGGGATGCAAAGAGACATTTAAAGGGCCAATGCAGAAATTGAAGCGATCCTCCTTGATCTCTGGGTAGAGGTGGCAGCAGGGTGGGCTGGTGCCTGGGAAAAGACTGGTGAGGAAAACTTTGTGAAGAGAACTGACACGGCAGCCGGTGGAGCCCGGGTGATAACACACCTCCCACTCCGCAGCTACCATCTCGCTCAGGCAAAAGGGAATCAATTAACCTGCCTTTTGTGCGCTCCGCACATAGCTTGTGCATGTGAGCTGGGGGGCTGAGTGCAGACTGGCTGGGAGAGCCTTGAGAAGAGACTGGGGACAGAGGCGTTGGGGAAAGAATGGGAGGAGGAACCAGGGAGTCCTGACTCCCTCCCCATTCTGTAGTCTCCATTGTGGGCTGGAAAGGCGCACCCCCAAAGATGCAGAAGAGGGGCACGCAGGAACCAGACTGCCTGCTATTGAAACGCAGGCCGCACAGGTGGTGGATGTTTGGCCGAAGGAGTCACAGAACTGCCCAGAGTCCCCTGAGGAGAGACTAGAAACGGAGGCGTTGGGGAAAGAACGGGAGGAGGAACCGGGGAGTCCCGAATCCTTCTCCTTGCCATAGTCTCCATTGCACGGGAAGAGGCCACACCCCCAAAGAGCCAAAAGCCGAAAAGCACACAGAGACACCCCAAAAACACCCAGTGCAGGTGCGCACACTTGCGCCGAGTGACCGGCGAGGGTTGATGAGCGTGTGTGTGACCCGCACGGGCTGGCGAACGCTTGCACCGGCCAGCAAGGCCTCCCACAGATTGGCACTGATACGGCCTGCGAGGGAGTGCACAGAGCGGCAAGGGCAGGCGTAAATTGACCCGCCCGCCCGCAATTGCGGAGTGGCCCACAAAATTAGTAGATCCCCAGCCGAAGGGGTCACAGAGCTGCCCAGGGTCCCTGGAGGAGAGACCAGAGACAGGATTAACCAGAGAGTCCTGGAGCTGACTTCCTCCCATTTCCGTAGTCCCTATTTGGCGAGGGCAAGCAACGCACCCAAAGAGCCAAAAGCAGGGAAAACACACAATAGAAGACCCTAAACTGACCAGTGCCGTAAAGCTCGCCGGCCAGGGGAGCCAGATGAGTACGCGAGGTCACGAATAAGGCCCCTGGTCTGGGGCAAGCACATGTGAGCCCAGGCAGGCGGGGGATCCTGCCGCGCAGGGAGCGCGATCAAGGAGCCCGCGTGAGAGTACAGAGAGATCCCAAAAAATAGCCCAGCCCTGACCGAAGGGGTCACAGAGCTGCCCCTAGCAGGAGTCAGACACAGGCTCCTGGAAGGCTCAAACAAACAACCCAAGGTCCTATAGGGTCAACAACTGACATCATCAGAGGCAGGCCCAGAAAGAAAAGTAAAGGACAAAAATACTTAACAGACTCTCACAAAAATGGGAAGAAAAGAAGTTCCCCCAAATGAGTGGGAAAGGGGACTCCCCACAGAGAGAGCTAAATGAAATAGAGGCAAGGGAACTATCAGATTTTGAATTCAAAACAATGGTTCTAAGGAAGCTCAATGAGCTCAGCCAGCTCAAAGAGAACTATGAGAAACTGCAGAGAAACTATCAGGATCTTACAGCAAACTATATCAGCCTGGAAAAGGACATAGAAACTATCAAGAAGACACAAGAAGATATGAAGAACACCATTTCTTAATTGAAGAACACAGTAGAAGGAATCCAAAGCAGGCTGGATGAAGCCAAGAATCGAATCAGTGAGATGGAGGATAAGGTAGAAAGAAGCTCCCAGAAAGAACAAGAAATGGGAAAAAAAAGACTCAAAAAGAATGAAGAGGCATTTAGGGAAACGCAGGACAACCTGAAACGTAATAATATCCACATAACAGGGATACCGGAAGGAGAAGAAGAGGAGCAAGGGATAGAGAACCTCCTCGAAAAAATAATGATGGAAAATTTCCCTAATTTGAGGAGAGAAAGGCTCTCGTGGATCCAGGAGGCACAGAGGACCCCACTCAAGAGGGACTCAAAGAGGTCCACTCCAAGACACATCATCATTAAAATGGCAAATATCAAAGACAAAGAAAGAATCCTAAGGCAGCAAGGGAGAAGGAGAAAGTAACATACAAGGGGGCCCCGATACGCCTAGGAGCTGACTTCTCAACAGAAACACTACAAGCCAGAAGGGAATGGCAACAAATATTCCAAGCCATGAAAAGCAAGGGCCTACAGCCAAGGCTGCTCTACCCAGCTAGGATCTCAATTAAAATAGAAGGGGAAATATGGAGTTTCCCAGACAAGAGAAGGCTAAAAGAATACATCTCTACCAACCAACACTCCAAGATATGCTAAGGGGACTGGTTTAAGCAGATGAAGGAAAAGAATGAGAGAGAGAGGAACACAGGTACAAAGACAAAAGATGAGTAAGTTTCTATCAGTAATATCTCTCAATGTGAATGGACTAAATGCCCCAATCAAAAGACACAGGGTAGCTGAATGGATAAGAAAACATGACCCACACATATGCGGCCTACAAGAGACCCACCTCAGAGCAAGACACCTACACAGATTGAAAGTAAAGGGATGGAAAAAAATATTCCAAGTAAATGGGCATGAGAAAAATGCCGGGGTTGCCATACTTGTATCAGACAAAGTAGACTTCAAAGCAAAGGCCATAAAGAGAGACCCAGAGGGGCACTTTATCATACTTAAAAAAAGAATCTATCAAGAAGACATCAACATTGTAAACTTATATGCTACCAATATAGGAGCCCCCAAGTTTATAAGGAAATTGTTGGATGACTTCAAAAAAGATATAGACAGCAACACACTGATAGTAGGGGATTTCAACACCCCACTGTCAAAAATGGACAGATCTTCCAAACAAAACATTAATAAACATATTGTGGCGCTGAATGACACCCTGAATCAAAGAGACTTAACTGACATATATAGAACCTTACATCCCAAAGAGGAAAAATACACAATCTTTTCAAATGCTCATGGCAGTTTTTCTAAGGTAGACCACATGATAGGACACAAAGCAAGCCTCAGCAAATTCAGGAAAATTGAAATAATACCAAACTTTTTCTCGGACCACAAGGGCTTGAAACTGGAAATCAACCTCAAAGAGAAACTTCAAAAACTTGCAAACTCATGGAGACTGAACAGCAGACTATTAAACAATGAATGGGTCAATAATGAGATAAGAGAAGAAATCAAAAAATTTCTGGGAACAAATGAAAATGAACAGACAACTGTCCAAAACCTATGGGACACAGCAAAGGCGGTCCTGAGAGGGAAGTTCATAGCAATACAGGCTTACCTAAAAAAGATAGAAACATTTCAAATAAAAGACCTAACACTACAACTTCAAGAACTGGAGACACAACAACAAATAAATCCCAGAGCAAGTAGAAGGAAGGAAATAGTCAAGATTAGAGCAGAACTGAATGACATAGACACAAAAAGAACAATTCAGAAGATCAACCGATCCAGACGCTGGTTCTTTGAAAAGATAAATAAAATTGACAAGCCTTTAAGCAGACTCATCAAGAAAAAAAGGGAGAGGACCCAATTAATAATATCAGAAATGAAAGAGGAGAAATAACAACTGATACCACAGAAATACAAAGGATTGTCAGAAACTTCTATGAAAAATTATATGCCAAGAAATTTGAAAATCTTGATAAAATGGACAAATTTTTAGAAAAGTATAATCTTCCAACACTGAAGGAGGAAGAAACAGAAAGCTTGAACAGACTGATAACAGCTGGGGAAATGGAAGCAGTGTAATCAAGAAACTCCAGGCACACAAAAGCCCAGGGCCGGACGGTTTCACAGGAGAATTTTACAAAACATTTAAGGAAGAGCTAACCCCTGTCCTTCACAGACTATTCCAAAAAATCCAAGATGAGGGAAGACTCCCAGACTCTTTCTATGAGGCCAGCATCACCCTGATCCCAAAACCAGATAAAGACCCTACAAAGAAAGAAAACCACAGGCCAATTTCGCTGATGAACATAGATGCTAAAATCCTCAACAAAATACTGGCAAACCGCATCCAGCAATACATTAAAAAGATTATCCACCACGATCAAGTGGGATTCATCCCAGGCATGCAAGGATGGTTCAATATACGCAAATCAGTAAATGTGATACATCACATAAATAAAAGACAAGACAAAAATCACATGATCATCTCGATAGATGCAGAAACAGCATTCATTAAGGTACAGCATGCATTTATGATCAAAACACTCAGCAAAATGGGAATAAATGGGGCATTCCTCAACGTAATAAAGGCCATATATGAAAAACCTACAGCCAACACCATACTCGATGGGTAAAAACTGAAAGCTTTCCCACTAAGATCGGGAACACGACAAGGATGTCCGCTCTCACCGCTTCTTTTCAACATCATATTGGTAGTCCTAGCCACAGTGGTCAGACAAGAGAAAGAGATAAAAGGCATCCAAATAGGAAAGGAGGAAGTAAAGCTATCATTGTTTGCAGATGGCATGATAGTGTACCTAGAGAACCCTATAGACTCTACCAAAAAACTCCTCAACCTAATAAGTGAATTTGGCAAAACAGCAGGATACAAAGTCAACATTCAGAAATCAAAGGCATTTTTCTACACCAGCAATGCAATAGAAGAAGAAGAAATCAGAAAAAATATACCATTCGATATAGCAAGAAGAAAAGTAAAGTACCTAGGCATAAATTTAACCAAAGAGGTAAAAGACCTGTGCGCAGAAAACTATACAACATTGAAAAAAGAAATTAAGGAAGACACAAATAAATGGAAGCATATACTGTGCTCATGGATTGGAAGAATTAATATCATCGAAATGTCCATACTACCCAAAGCAATTTATAGATTCAACGCAATCCCTATTAAGATACCAATGCCATATTTCACAGAAATAGAACAGACATTTCAAAAATTTATATGGAACCATAAACGACCGCGAATAGCCTCAACAATTTTGAGAAAGAAACACAAAGTAGGAGGGATCACAATAGCAGACATCAAACTATACTACAAAGCCGCTATACTCAAAACAATCTGGTACTGGCACAAGAACAGACCCATAGACCAGTGGAACAGAATAGAAAGCCCAGAAATAAGCCCAGGTCTATATGGGCTTCTAATATTTGACAAAGGCGGCAGAAGCATAAAATGGAGCAATAATATAGCCTCTTCAACAAATGGTGTTGGGAGAGCTGGACGGCTACATGCAAAAAATTGAAATTGGATCATCAGCTGACACCATACACCAAAATAAACTCAAGATGGATAAAAGACTTAAATATAAGTTGCAACACCATAAAAGTCCTAGAGGAGAACATTGGCAGGAAACTCTCAGATATCCCACGCAACAATTTTTTCACTGATATGACTCCTAAAGCAAGAGACATAAAGGAAAGAATAAACAAGTGGGACCTCATCAAAATAAGAAGCTTCTGCATGGCAAAAGAAAACATCAGCAAAATGAAAAGGGAGCCAACCATATGGGAAAATATATTCGCTAATGATACATCAGATAGAGGCTTGATCTCCAAGATATATAAAGAACTCACTGTACTCCACTCCAAGAAGACAAACGATCCAATCAAAAAATGGGCAAAGGACCTGGGCAGATGCTTTTCTTAGGAGGAGATACAGAGGGCCCAGAGGCATTTGAAAGGATGCTCAGCATCACTGGTCATCAGAGAAATGCAGATCAAAACCACCATGAGGTATCACCTCACACAGGTCATAATGGCCATCATAAACAGATCAACAAACAACAGGTGCTGCTGAGGCTGTGGAGAAAAGAGAACCCTAGTCCACTGTTGGTGGGAATGCAGACTGGTGCAGCCACTGTGGAAAGCAGTGTGGAATTTCCCCAAAAAGCTGAAAATGGAACTGCCTTTTGATCCAGTGGCTGCTGGATCCCCTGCTGGCACTATACCCTAAGAACACCAAAATGCCAATACAAAAGAACCTATGCACCCCAATGTTCATAGCAGCACAATTGACAATAGCCAAGTGTTGGAAGCAAGCTAAATGCCCATCAGTAGATGATTGGATCAAAAAGTAATGGTACATATACACAATGGAATACTATGCAGCAGAAAGAAAAAAAGAACTACTAAACTTCGCGACAGCATGGATGGAACTGGAGAGCATCATGCTAAGTGAAATAAGCCAGGGGGCGAAAGACAAATACCATAACCAACAATACAAAGATGCAAGGAAAATAAGACCAGCAACACTGAAAGGAAAAGAAAGCAACAGACAAGAAGGAAGGGGGGGTCGGGGAAAAGGAAGGGAAGGGGAAAGTCAAGGAACATATAGCAAGGACTCATGGACAAAACCAAAGGGAAGAGCTGACGGAGGGAAGGAGGGAGGGGGCAAGGGAAGGTGGTAGGGGGTAGGCAGAGACAAATGTATTTGAAAAAATAAATTAAAATTTAAAAAAAAGATAGTATTGTTAATTTTGTTTTAGGTATGATAATGGTATAGTGGTTCTTTTTTCCTAAAGACTTGCTATATTTTAAGGATACATACTAAAGTATTTACACCTGAAACACTGTGATATCTAGGATCTGCTTCTAAATAAACCAGTGGAGGAGAAGAAAAAAGTGGGAGAAAAAAAGAGGCCATGAATATAACTGTTGAAGCTAGGTGTGGGGTACATGAGGGTGCACTACATCATTGCCTCTACTTCTGTGTCTGTTTGAAAACTGCCTCAGTAAAGACACTGAATAAAATAAACTGCCTCATCTGATCAGATTCAGCAGTTTCCTTATTGACAGAAGAGACTAAGTAGGTAGAGCCTACTAGGCACATGAAACCAGGACTTACCGTTCTATATTCACCTCATTGCCTTGATCTCTAGTGTGGAAGATCATTGTATATTTACCCACATCAGGCATTGGCCGGATTATTTTCATTCTATGAAGCTCAACCCTAGAAAAATAACAGAGGTGGTTTTGTAAAAAGTTCCATCCTATTTATCTACCACTAGACACTTAAAAAGAATCATTTCCAAAAACTTACACATGTGCACACACACATAGAGACATACATAGTTTGATTATTTGGATATTAAAAAAAGAGTTGTCTTATAATGTTGTGCCTCAGGCAGTAAGTCCATAAAAAATCACATTTAACATTTACTACTGGGGTACAAGGTGATGTGTCAATTCACAAGTTTTGTCATCTCCCAAAACAACTGAGAAAATACATGTTTTAAAAATCACGACATAAGATATATAAATGTATAATCACTATGTTGTACACCTGAAATTAATATAATGTTTGTCAACTATAATTGAAAAATAAATTTAAAAAATTATGATGAATAGAAGAATCAAGTCTCTTGGGATCCCTAGTTCACTTAGTGCTTCCTTCTTTTAACAAAGAAAAGTAATGATTTTTTAAAGTCACAAGCTTTAAAGCCCATGAACCTAGGTTCTAATCTAGGCTTTGTTATTTTCAATCTTGGTAAGTCAGTTCATTGTTCTAGGTCTTGGTCTCCCACCTATAAAATGCCAATGGCATAAAGGAGTTGATCAGACAGGCTCAAATCAGAGTCCACAAGGGGCATGTTTTGCAAACTGTAATGCACTATCAATGCGCAAAGAAGGGTGGCGCCTGCTGCACAAGTGAGAAAATAAATATTTTGTGAACAAATTTCAACCAACTTTTATGTTAAAATCATTTACTTATCATTAACATTAGTCAAGAACCACTCTGAAGGCCCTGATGTTCTTATCAAACAAAAGCAAAATTTGGCACTCCCCTCAACCTTGAAGAGAAGGAACACAGGAAAAAAAAGACAATGATGATACGTGATCAATGAGAAATTCTAACCTTCCCATCTGGGCAGGAACATGGATTTGGGGGAGGTGATGGACATTGTTTACCTCCAGCCTCTGCTACTCTTGCCCTGAAATCTAGCTCTGTCCACTTCATGAGCCCTGGCCACACAGACTAGTGATGGGCGGGGCCTCGAAGAGCTGCCTCCCGTCATGTGGCCCTTCCTATGGCGACTTGAGCCAGGGAAATCCCTTATGTTCCTGCCAGAAATATCCCAGGGACTCTCAGCCTACACATGGGAACAAGAGCAGCAGGGAGCCCTGGCTTCTTTATGCTGAAGGGAGAAGTTCTGGCAGTCACATATCTATTAATTCAAAACCACGGCTAAGAGAGTTCCTTTCCAAGAGACAACAGCAGGAGAAAGGAGGGTCTCCTGATAGTCAGGGAGACCTTGTTATTACAAGTCTAAAGATACTGGCCCCAGGCTCTTGAATAATTACTTATTTCTGGTAGGTAGGGCTCCCCATAACTATCTGGCCCCAAAACCTGAATTCAGGGGAGGTTGCTGAGAGAGGAGGCCAGATATAGTCTTTCTGAAGCCCCCAGGCAGAAGATAGTCCAGGAGAACCTGAGGATAATGCTGGTAGCCTGGAGCCTGGTCTAGGAGTCAGGCCAGCAGCTACCCCCACAGTAGGTGGGGCTGGCTAATGCCTAACAGAGAGGACATTGTGGCCTGCTTCAGGGTGTGCAGGTCCTCACAAGCTGTTGGCACTCCCTGCTCATCCACTGGGGACTGCGAGGGATTCTCTGGAGCCCGGGAGGAAGCATAGGCTTATGCTGGGCCCTCTGGCCACTGCCCTCAAATTGCACCTGTGTAGACCTTTCACAGTTTGGAACTTTTAATTCACTGGTGAGACCCTTCTCAGTAAGCAATGCCCAGTGACAAGTCCACAGAGACCTCCATCAACACTTGTGGACCCCTAATGCCCACGAGCCAGAAACAGACCACCTTCTAGCACCTCCACACTGCCAGTGAAGCAATTTGGGTCATCCTGCCCTCCCTTCCGCACTTGCCTCCCTTTAAGCCCAAAGCTGTGGCCTCCTGCCCTGCTGGACTAGCGTCTACAGGTGCTATAAAATGTAGGTTTCCAGAGCCATCACTGATAGCAGAGCCCTGTGAAGAGGACCTGTCTCTGTTGTTCACCTGAGTCTGAGGTCATCGTCTTCGCCTCCCCATCCCCAGTAGTTGTTAGAGAATCCATTCACCTTGAAAAATTGCTCTCTTCTTAGAGCAGTAACACCCCCAAAATATCCATTGTAACGTAACCTGGAGCAGAAGAGAGAAGAAGAACATTAGCACAGCCTTTTTGTTCCCCACAGACACTTGAGAAGTCTCTGATTCAAGGCTGGAATTCTAGGAACACTGTGAAGACCTTGTACTCCACCCAGCCATTCCTGCTGGGCATCTATGTCCCAAAATTCCTGTCCTGCCCTATCTGCCCTTCATTCCTCTGCTGAGACAAGTGCTCACATCCCCTCACTAAGCAAGGTGCCACCCACCTGTTATCATTACTGTTTAATGTTTGCATGTAGAGGTCTATAAAGGTCCCTGTGTGGACCATAACATCAGATGTGAATGACAGATTTCATCTCATGTGCCAATCTAATGAATAGTCATAGCTATCAAGGGCACTGGGTTAAGAAGGATTCTGAGGTTGCATCCAGGTTAAGCATGAATAACTGTCATTGAGAATATACTGGGTTTTAGGGTTTTTTTCACTTTCACTTTTTTGGAGGAATGGGGAAGAGGTGGAAAGCAGAAGACAGCTCCTGCACACACTTTGTGTGCAAATCTCCACATCAATGCATGCAAAGCTCCGTAAAGGACAGAGTCTGTTTCTTGAAGAACTCAATACACTTCAACAAACCTGATGTTTCTGGCTTGAGCAATTAGGTAGATGATGTGCCTTTCACAAAAAAAGAGTATACAAAACAATAATTGGGTTTTGAAAGGAAGACAGTAAATTTTGGATAAGTGGAATCTGAGATAACACTGGCGCTTTTGCTGGTGGTCAAAAGGATATGAGGTCCAAGCTAAAAAGGGAAGAGAGGCTAAAGATATGGCTTTGGAAATAAGCTATTAAGAGGTTGTACTTGGAGGGCAGCAGTAGAAAAACTACACTGCCTGAGGACAATATAGTAGGTGAGGAGAGGACAGAGGGTGGAGCCATGAAGACAGCCACAGGAAAAGGGGGAAAAAGAAGAGATCAAGCAGGACCAGTCAGAGGGTACCTCTCAGTCTCATGGGATTCTTATGATTGCTGGTGAGCCAACTGGCAAATCCAAGAAATAAAGATATCCCTGAAGATAACACTATACCAATTCAGAAATGCAAATGAAGGCAGCTTGTTAACTTGGATGTTTCTGAATAAAACTTTAATTACCTTAGGTCCAAAGTGCTCCAAGACTTATGAAATATTTCTGATTTTCCAGATAAGAAAAAAAACAAAAGGTCAATAAACATATAGACACATGACATCTAATAGGTGGAGTCAAGGTAATCTGTAGTTCAACTATGTGTTTCTACGTTCTGAGGATAGACGGGGAGGACCCTGTTTAACCCATTATGGAAACAGATGTATTTATATACCCTCAACCTAAAATTCTAGAAAATGGTGTTATTATAACCTAAAGCAAACAAAAGGAAATAAAATGCTCAGAAGGTAGCTCTTACTGCCCATGACATCTATGACAGTGATGTGTTGCTGTGGTTACTGGACTCTGACTGGGATTGGCTTCTTAATTACCTAGAGACCAGTAGCTTCATCAGGACAGAGTACAACTATTGCCCAGAAATAACCTGCCAAGCTCCTTGGAAGGGTCACCAGGAGGCAACAGCACTGATGATCTGACAATGATCTATTAAGTAACCACTATCCACTGTGAGCAAGGCAGCTGGCAATATACCGTAAACCCTGGGCCCTGCCCTCAAAGAACTTATAGTCTAACAGGAGGTTAGCATTGTCTAACAAGACTTGAGGAAGGAGAGGTCACATATTGGAGGATTCAGATAGGCAGAAAAAATGGGGACCACATGGAGGTGGTCAGAACTCATGAGAAAAAGGAAAAGGAGAGAAAAGTGTATGCTGTCAGAGCAGTACCTGGAGACCAGTTTCGCTGCAGTGGAAGTGCAGGAGGGCAGCTGGAAAAAAAGCTCAAAGAACTCTCATTTCAGGTCTGTCCTGTGTGGCTCAGCTGGCTGGTCATCATCCCAGAAAGCAGAAGGTAGCCAGTTCGATTCCCAGTCAGGGCACATGCCTGAGTTTTGGGCCAGGTCCCCAGTTGGGGGTGTGCGAGAAGCAACCAATCAATATTTCTCTCCATCTCTTTCTCTCTCCCTTCCCCTCTCTAAAAATAAACCAATTTTTTTTTAAAAAGAACTCCATTTCCCAGTGGCCTTTTGGATAGCAAATGTGCTTACTGATCTTTGCTTTGATTTTTCTTCTATCTAGAAACGCACAACTATTTAATTGGCCCAGTAACAGTTTTATCTGTTTTTAAAGGGCTAAAAGATGGGGAAAATGTCATCATAAAATAACAATATAATCCTTGTAGAAAGCAGGCAGGTACCAAAGGAATTCTTGGCAGTAAAATTTGCCACAGGCAGGTCCAGAGCTTTATTGCTGACTCACAGTCAGTGGGATAAACAAGATTTATTTCTGCCTTTATCAGAATCCTAGAAATTTGGGTCAAGTTACTTAAACTTCTTAACTCTGCATGTATGTACAGTGAAAACTTTTTTTTATTTTAATATTTTATCAATCATGCTATTAGAGTTGTCCCAATTTTTCCCCTTTTGCCCCCTTCCCCCAGCACCCCCCACTCTGTCAGTTAATGCCCCCCATCATTGTTCATGTCCGTGAGTCTAGTGTGTAAGTTCTTTGGCTACTCCATTTCCTACACTGTATTTTACATCCCCATGGCTATTCTGTAACTACCTATTTTTACTTCTTAATCCTCTCACCTCTTCCCCCATTCCCCCACAACTCCCTCCCATCTGGCAACCATCTAAATGTTCTCTGTATCCATGATTCTGTCTCTGTTCCTGTTGTTTGCTTAGTTTGTTTTTAGATTCAATTATTAAGAGATACGTGTTTTTTGGCACTTTACTGTTCATAGTTTTTAATGTTATTTTCTTAAATAAGTCCCTTTAATATTTCATATAATAATGGTTTGGTAATGATGAACTCCTTTAGATGTGTTTTAGTTTTAGTTTTTAGCTCTAGTCTTGGAAGCTGTTTACCTGTCCTGCAATTCTAAATGATAGCTTTTCTGGGTAGAGCAATCTTGACTGTAGGTCCCTGCTTTTCATGACTTTGAATGTTTCTTTCCAGCCCCTTCTTGCCTGCAAAGTTTCTTTGGAGAAATCAATGCACAGTCTTATGGGTAATCCCCAGCAGGAACTAACTTCTTTTCTCTTGCTGCTTTTAAGATTCTCTATTTATCTTTAACCTTTGGCATTTTAATTATGATGTGTCTTGGAATGGGCCTTTTTGCAACCATCTTGTTTAGGACTCCCTGTGCTTTCTGGACTTGCACATCTACTTCCTTCACCAAATTAGGGAAGTTTTCTTTCATTATGCTTTCAAATAGTTCCCAATTTCTTGCTCTTTCTCTTCTCCCTCTGGCACCCCTGTGATGCAAATGTTGGACCCCTTGAAGTTGTCCCAGAGGCTGCTTATACCATCCTTGTCTTCGTGTATTCTTTTTTCTTCCTGATGTTCTGATTGGTTGTTTTTTGCTTCCTTATGTTCCATATCATTGATTTGATTCTTGGCTTCATCCACTTTACTGTTGTTTCCTTATAAATTGTTCTTTATTTCAATCAGTGAAGCCTTCATCTCTGACTGGATCTTTTCTATGCTGTTGAGGTTCCCACTAAGTTCCTTGAGCATCCTTATAAGCCGTGTTTGGAACTCTACATCTGACAGATTGCTTATCTCCATTTCACTTAGCTCTTTTCCTGAAGTTTTGATCTATTCTTTCATTTGGGCCATATTTCTTTGTCTCCTCATTTTGGCAGCCTCCCTGTTTGTTTCTATGTATTAGGTAGAGCTCCTTCAACTCCCTATCTTGGTAGTGTGACCTAATGTAGTGGGTGTCCTATAGGGTCCAGTGGCACAGTTTCCCCTATCACCCAAGCTAGGTACTTGATATGCACCCTTCATGGGGGCTTAGTAGACCCTCCTCTTGTAGTTGAGCCGTGATTGCTGTTGGCAGGTCAATAGGAGGAATTTACCCTAGCCAGTCAGTGGCAAGGACTGGCTATGATCACTGACAACCAACTTCTGCCTTCCATGGAGGATCAGCTGTGCAAAGGCAGGGTGGTGGTGCTCTAATGTCTGTAGCTGCCTACTGGGTACAAAGGCTCTGGGGTTTCCCTGGTGGTGCCCCAACCTGTGTTTTACCCCAGGCCACCCTATCTAAGCTATAAAGAAATCTGAGATGGCTGCTACTTGTGCTGGGCTTGGAGATTCCCAGGCAAAGCCAAGCTGTTAATCTAAGCCAACTACTGCTAGTGCCAGGCCTCGGGCTCACTGAAGCCAGCTGTTGCTTGTTTGAGAGGATTTAGGAAGCTGTGAAGCATGAGCCAAGACCAGCCATTCATATAGAAAAGCAGCTTGGGTGGGCCCATAAGTTGGGTGGGGCAAAATCTCAGGGGATCACCAAGGCAGGTCAAACAGTATTAGCCAGGTTGACAGAGTCTCAGATATGGCACCAGCTTTATGGCTTTGTTGGGGGAGGGTTTAGAAAAGAGCCAATGGCCTCTGCCTGCCTTAATTCCAGCCACTTCAGTTCCTCCCAGTATGACACTGGTGCCTTTCAAGCTGTTACCCTACTATTGGAGCTCAGAGGGAGTGAGTCTGAGTAGGTGAGTCCATGTGTAGGTTCTTAAAGAGGAACTGCTTGGGGCTCTAGAAGTTTCTTCCACTGACTCAATCCCTGCTGTTTTTTGCAGCCAGAAGTTGTGGAGACTTATCTTCCTGGCATGGAAACCCTGGGCTGGGGGGTCTGGGACTCCTTACTCCTGAGATATCCCTCCCAAATTTCTATCCACCACACATGGGTGTGGTGCCAGCCCATTCTGCATCTTCACCCCTCCTACCAGTCTGGATGGATGTAGTTTCTTAATTCCATAGTTGTCAGACTTCCGTTCAACTTGATTTCTGACTATTATGAGCGATGGTTCTATATTTTAGTTGTCATTTTGATGTGGTTGTGGGAGGCAGTGAGCCATGTCTGCCTATGCCACCATCTTGACTAAAAGTTCCTGAAAGCATTTCTTGAACTTATCATACTCATGGGACCACTGTGACAATGAATAAAGCCCTTGCTGATTTAAGTTCCGTGGCACAGGGACACACAGTTACCAGCAGGGAGCACACACTTAGTTGCCTGCCACCACAGCTGTAAGCAATGGAGGGATTCTGCCCAAAGCAGCGAAGGAAAGGGGGGACTGGGGAGAGGGGATATATCATTACTTATGCATGCTTCTTCCTGGCCACAGTAGACGATGCAATTTACATGATACATATAACAAAGTAAAAAATATATATAAATGACAAATCAGGTCCAGAGGAAAACATAAGTCAGGAGAGAAGATTACAATGAGAAACATATTAGAATTCTGATCTGCAAATAAGATTCTTTTCAGCTTTAAAAAGAACATTATGGATTTGGCTCAGGGCTTCTTGCATCCAGAAGAAAAGAGCGGACACATTCAATTCCCTAATTCACATTAAGAAAATCTGCCAGTTAATCAAGGAAGACAAAGACTTTCAGATGGCTAGTTATAAAGAAATATATGGCTAGTTACAATACCAAGTTAAAACACTAAAATTCAAAAATAATTATTGACTTATGCCCAAAATTGAGGCATAGGTAGATAATCTTTGCCTCCTTGCACAACTAAAAGAAGGACAACAAAAAATTTAAAAACAAAACATAACCAGAACTGCCAGAAAATCTAACTGTATGGAGGTCCGACAAACAAGGACTTAAAAAAGAAACATTCATCCAGACTGGCAGGAGGAGCAGAGACGGGCAGCCAGGAAGAGAAGACGTGCGGCAAGGCAGCAGCTAGAGGACCAGGCGGGCCCATATTGGCATGTGGATAAACCAGGAGGAACAGCTGGAGAGCGAGACAGACCGCGCAATCCAGGGTTCCAGCGTGGGAACAGACAGCCTCAGAACCCCTGGGGGTAAAACATGTGGTGGTTGTGGTGGTGGCAGGAGAAATTCCCAGCCTCATAGGAGAGTCCATTGGAGAGACCCACAGGATCCTAGAAGGTACACAGACACACTCACCCCGGGATACAGCACAGATATAAAAAGGGGTCAATTTGCTTGTGGGTAGCCAGGGAAGTGACTGAAAGCCTGCTGAGAGCACAGGAAGAAGCACTGAGCCCTCTCAGACCCCGCACCCACAGGCAGCTTCACAACACAGCAACATGGGTTGCCCCGCCCTGGCAAATACCTAAGGCTCCACCCCATACAATGTAACAGGAGATCCAAGACAAAGAAGTATGGCCCAAATGAAAGAACAGATCAAAGCTCCAAAAGTAGAACTAAGCAATAAACAGATAACCAACCCATCAAGTGCACAGTTCAAAACACTGGTAATCAGGATGCTCACAGAAATGGTTGAGTATGGTTGCAAAATGGAGGAAAAGTGAAGGCTATGCAAAGTGAAATAAAGAAAAATGTACAGAGAACCAACAGTAAAGGGAAGGAAACTGGGACTCAAATCAACGATTGGGAAAAAAAGGAAGAGATAACCATTCAACCAGAACAGAATGAAGAAACAAGAATTCAAAAAAACGAGTAGAGGCTTAGGAATTTTCTGAACAACTTTAAACATCCAACATTCGAATCATAAGGGTGCCAGAAGGAGAAGAGGAAGAGCAAGAAATTGAAAACTTATTTGAAAAAATAATGGAAAACTTCCCCAATCTGACCAAGAAAATAGACTTCAAGGAGATCCAGGAAGCTCAGAGTCCCAAAGAAGTTGGACCCAAGGAAGCACACACCAAGGCACATCATAATTACATTACCCAAGATTAAAGATAAGGGGAGAATCCTAAAAGCTGCATGAGAAAGGGAGACAGTTACCTACAAGGGAGTGTCCATAAGACTATCAGCTGGTTTTTCAAAAGAAACCCTGCAGGCAAGAAGGGGCTGGAAAGAAGTATGCAAAGTCATGAAAGACAAGGACCTACATCCAAGATTACTCTATCCAGCAAAACTCTCATTTAGAATGGAAGGGCAGATAAAGCGCTTCCCAGATAAGGTCAGGTTAAAGGAGTTCATCATCATCAAGCCCTAATTATATGAAATGTTAAAGGGACTTCTCTAAGAAAAAGATCAAAAATGATGAACAGTAAAATGACAACAAACAACTATCAACAACTGAACTTAAAAAAAAACAAAAACAAAAAACAAACTAAGCAAACAACTAGAACAGGAACAGAATCACAGAAATGGAGATCAGAGGGAAGGGGGAGTGGAGAGAATGGGGGGAAAGATACAGAAAATAAGAAACATAAATAGTAGGTACAGAATAGATGGGGGGGAGGTAAAAATAGTATAGGAAATGGAGAAGCCAAAGAACTTACACATACAACCCATGGGCATGAACTGAGGGGGCAGAGGGAGGGATGCTGTTAGGAGGGAGGGTGCAGAGTGGAAGGGAATAAAGGGGAGGAAAAAATGGGACAACTGTAATAGCATAATCAATAAAATATTTTAAAAAGTAAAAAAAAAACCCAGCAAGATTCATATAAGGGCTGTTTTTAGAGTAGCGTCTGATGACATCTTTGATTGTGATATCAAAGTTTTATTCACAGTCAATTCCCAGCAGGAATGTCCAAGAATTCAGTTTCTTGTGGTCCAGCTTAACACAAAGATAAAATCTAGAATTCCAACAAGACTTGTCCTTAAAACAATCCTGTTATTTGCACTCAAAAAAACAAAAACAAAAACAAACAAACAAAAAACAAAAAAAAAGTCCTGTGTGATAATAATTTCTCACTACAGATGTTTAGAAAGAACTGGGCATTAGGAAGTTATCTATGTTGGGGGTCCAACATACCTGTATTCTGTGCTGTATATAATAAAAACTTACTAATGCACAATGGTGATCTGACATGCTTCTGAAAAACACCAAGGTGTCCAACCATGATATACTGCCTTCTTCAAAGAAGAAGTGACTCAAACAGAAAGCAAAACCTCCAGAGAATAAGATTAAGATCCAAAGATCAAGTTCCCCAAAGGAAAAATATCCTGTGATTCTCATCCAGGGCCCTCCCCATCACACCTGCCCCATTCAGGCACATGGCCTCTTTCCCATAGCTTTTTCCTTCCCTTTCCCCAACTCATTACCAATGCTTACAGTTAAATTTACAAGAGTTAGGTGCAAAATTGATGCAACTCTACTGTAGCTGTCTCCCCACACCAGCACACAACAGGGAGCTCTTTGATGGCAGGCACAGGGCCCATTCGAATTGGTCTCATGACCCTGAGCAGAGTAAGCAGCACAGACGTGAGCACAGTAAATGGCCAGGCTGGGGAAGCTGATAGGTAAATGTGCACACACATAAGCGAATATATAGTTTGCAGAGAATTTTCTTGGTCACTATTTCCCCTTGTTTGTGCTTAAAAAGGAGCTGGTATAAAATAAGGTTGGAAAGCAGATCTGCCTCTCCTAGGGTGCACAAGGAATGGTGAAGACAGAAATGGTGGAACCAAGCACTTCCCACAGTGGCTCTGAGAGGAGAAACTTGTCCTGGGTGTCCTGGCTATTGGGCAGACTACTCAGTGAAGAGTCCCCTCCTCACTCTCCCTCAGGACTCTTGAAAGATTATCACCCTCTGGAAAGAGATTTCACATTTACACAACAAAAGCCTAAAAGTTGAACTAAGGAGCATGCTTTGGTTGCCCACTACAGGCGGAAGTCAAGGAATTCCAGTTACTTGAATTTACACAGTAGGGGACAGATTGAAAAATTTCCACTGTACGTAGATGCTGCAGGTGAAGCTAGCCATGGTTTGCAATGCCTGAATTATTCTCCCTCTCCTGTTTTTCCCTTCTCTCTTCAGGGTCCTCTGCCAAGGTTGTCATAGGGCTTTTTCCTGAAAGGAAAATCCTAATTTCTCCAGTCCCTGGTTTGAACTTTAAGTGATATGCCATGTGCCATTTTCCCTATTTTTCATTTACTTAAGACACTCTGGACACTATCCCAAACGGCTCGATGACTACAGGGCAAGCTTCTCCAGCTCAGCAGGTATGAGCAGAGCCGCCTTACCTGTACCCAGTGCTGTTCCTGCCCACCACCAGATGCTTGGGCTGATCCTCACATTTATAAAGGTTCAAGTCATTCTCGGGCACCAGGTCGACATCATGGAATATAAAGCAGTCCCAATTTTCATCGTTGAGAGCTTCTAGATAGCCCACATTCAAGAGTTTGGCTCGATTAAACTTTTTACTGCCAGCCTACAGATAGGGAAATTAAAAGTTGAAGACCTCCTGAGACAAGGTTTCACATTCTGCCCCCTTCAGGTAAGATGCAGGAGCTGGTATTAATTAACTCCTGCTACACAAAACTATACTGTGACATGAAAATCTGACAGTAGATACAATATCAATAAAAGATGGTTTGTTTCTTTATGTTTCATATATATACTTAAATCCCATAACTTAAAAACATACCTTGAAATGGGGAGTTGTCAATTAATGGGTATAGATTCTAAGCTTTGCAAGATGGAAAAGTTCTAGAGATTGGGTGCAGAATAATGTGAATATACTTAACATTACTGAACTACACATAAAAATAGTTAAGATGGTCAATTTCATGTTATGCATAATTTATCACCATTTTTAAAAGTCCGTAGTTTCAAAATACAAATACAAATAATTGAAAAAATTTTAAAAACATGTATTTTCCACATAAAACTACAAAACCTTTCTTACACACTTGTCATACTGACAAATGTCACTGTTTCACTGTTCAACTCTCAGTTCGGCCCAATCTTATTCTATGTGACCAATTTATACTAAGTTTCCAAGAAACAGAGCACGCCAAAAAGGATCAAGAATTCTTGACCTATAAAAAAATCCAGATAGCAGAGGAGTGAATGGAAGTCACACTGACCTCCTCCCAGGACCACTCTGGAATTACAACTACATTGTGGAAAAATCACCTGGAACAAACAACTGAAAAATAGCGAGAGAGGAGCCTTAACCCTCAGATGGACAGAGGAATTGGCTTTAGCACAACCTAACTGGTAAGCAAGTAGTGTAGAGACTCAAGAAGGCAAGCAGGGTGCCCACGGGTGGCAGCACCAGAAGGATATTGAAATGGCCAGTTGGATCCCCTTGAGAAGAGCGGGGTCTAAACTATAAGCAGGGATCTCCAGCCTACAGTACCAGAGCCCAAAAAGTACACAGATAAGAGCCAGCTGGAAAAAGCAGCAGGGTTGCTCTCTGTCAGAGACAGGCAGCTGGAGATGTAAAGAGCTGTTTAAAGGGTCAAACATAAATTTTATTTGCAGCCACTTACCCTGGGCTTCAGCAGAGGCAGAGTGGGCTAGAGACTTGAGGAGGGACTGGGAAAGGAGGCTTTGGGGAAAGAACAGAGAGAGTAGCCAGTGGGATCCCGGTGCTGACTCCTCCCTCATACAGCAGCAACCATCTGGCTCAGACAGACCACTCCCCTGAACGGCAGCAGCGTGAGAGGACCCAACAACCTGCCCCCCAGGAGGACTCTGCTCTGCCCTGTGGTGTCTAAGCAGGCCTGCTGAGTGCAGAGTGATTAGATTAACAACTGCAGGATACAGCCACAGACAGTAGATTCCTGGAAGTCTCGAACAGACTGCCTAAGTTCAGACAGGGTCAACATCTGACATCATCAGAGGCAGATTCAGAAAGAAAAAACAGCGGTTTCCTACCACAGAAGTTCACACCACAAAGTCAGGAAATCAAGGCAGATCAATTTAAGAAGCAGAAGCAAAAATGTCTCACAAATAATGGGAAGACAAAGAAATACCTCCCAATTGAAGGGAAAGGAGGAATCCCCACAAACAGAACTAAATGAAATAGAGGCAAGTAAACTATCAGGTACTGACTTCAAAACAATGGATCTAAAGAAGCTCATTCAGCTCAGTGAGCTCAGAGAGAATTACCAAAAACTACAGGGAAACTATAAGGAACTTACTGCAAACTATATCAACATGAAAAAGGACACAGAAACTATCAATAAGAGACAAAAGGAAATGAAGAATACCGTTTCTGAATTGAAGAACACAGTAGAAGGAATCAAAAGCAGGCTAGATGAAGCTGAGGATCGAATCAGCGAGCTGGAGGATAGGTAGAAAAAAAGCTCCCAGAAAAAGCAAGAAAATGAAAAAAGACTAAAAAAGAATGAAGAGGTGTTTAGGGAAATGCAGGACAACTTGAAATGTAATACTATCCATATAATAGGAATACCAGAACAAGAGGAGGAGGAAGGGATAGAGAACCTGTTTGAAAAAAGTAATGATGGAAAGATTCCCTAATTGGAGGAGAGAAAAAGTCTCACAAGTCCAGGAAGCACAGAGGGTCCCATTCAAGAGGAACCCAATGAGGCCCATTCCAAGACACATCATCATTAAAATGGCAAATATCAAAATCAAACAGAGAATCCTAAAGGCAGCAAGGGAGAAAGAGGTCAGTAACATATAAGGGAGCCCCGGAACAGCTAGCAGCTGACTTCTCCACAGAAATACTACAAGCCAGAAGAGAATGGCAGAAATATTCTAAGTCATGAAAAGCAAGGGCCTGCAACCGAGACTGCTCTACCCAACAAGGCTCTCAATTAAAATGGAAAGCAAAATAAGGAGTTTCCCAGACAAAAGAAGGCGAAAGGAATACACCTCCACCAAACCAGCACTGCAAGACATGCTAAAGGGACTGCTTTAAGAAGATGAAGAAAAAGGGTCTATGAATATCCAGTTCCTTTCACAGTCGCCAATGCTTGATATTACCAATATTTTTTAATATGTATTAATCTGACTGTGAATGATGTGTTATTTTAATGTTACTTAATTATTTGTTGAAACTAAACCTGTTTTTGTATATTTCTTGCCTATTTCTGTTTAAAATATGTTTTAAATGACTTTTTGGTATTCTTTACCCATTTTTTGATTAAATGTTTGCAGAATTTTTTCCCTTTAAAAAAAACCTATTAACCCTTTTTTAGATGTGTTGCAAATACTCTCCTATTCTATTACTTGTACTTTAACTTTTTTTATATGTGTATTACTATATAGTCTTAAATGTTTAATATAGTCATATTATCAATATTTTACTTTATAGCTTCTGCATTTCAATATTTTCCTTCAGGGTAAGAAAAATATTATTTTGTATATTCTCCTAAAACTCCTTAGATTTTTACATATTGATTTTTAATTCACCTAAATATTTTTTGTATAATGTGTGAAATAGGGATATATATTTGTTTTATTTCAAGTAATAGTCGCCCATGCACCTTATTTGTTGAATAAGCGTCATTTTCACCATTGATTTGAAATATCAAGTTAATTATATATTACATTGTTAGATAGATACATTTGTTCCTAGAATGTTCATTTTACTTCATTGATCTACTTGATTATTTCTGTGCTGGTGTCATGTTGTTTTAATTGCTGAGACTTTATAATGGATTTAAATTTTTAATATATTATAATGAATTTGGATATTTAAAAAAATAAATAAAAATCAATCTGCATTTAGGAAGCAAGGAAGGAAGGAAAAAAGAAGGAAGGAACTCCTACTTTTACAACAACATGGATGAAACTGGAGAATATTATGCTAAGTGAAGTAAGCCTGTCAGTGAAAGACAAATACCATATGATCTCACCTATAAGTGGAATCTATTCAACAAAATAAACTAATGATCAAAATAAACCACAGGCATGGAAACATGGAGCAGACTGAAAGTGACCAGAGGGGATGGAGAAGGAGGACAATGGTGGAAAGAAAGGGAAGGGCCTGGACAAAGAACATGTATGAATGCCCCATGGACATGGACAACAGTGTGAGAATTGACTATTGGGGGTGGGCATGAGATGGGTGGAGGAGGACAAAGGAGGAAAAATTGAGACAACTGTAATAGAGTAAACATGATTTTTTAAATTAAATTGAAAAAAGAATGACTTTTTTTAATCAACAAGAAAAGTAATTCTTGACCTATAAACAGAGAAGGTCATTATTAATATTTCTAAGCTACTTAAAAGTCTCTTGGAATCACTGTAAGAGAATCCTGTTTTAATACTTAATGGCAGAAGCTAATCCTTACAGTGCCCTTACTTAGGGGACCCATCACTGGGTAAAAAAAGGAACACATTTCAAGCACTAAGAAGACCAGAGTATAGTATGAAAAAGATTTTACAGTATTAATTTTTTCATGGCTGTTTGGATCAAATTCCTTCAGAGTAAATTCCAGTTCGATAAACAGTTAATCATAACAAAAATATAGGCAGTTCCCTCAAAAGTTACCACAGTACTTTCCTGAAAAGAACACCACAAAGCACATGTATCTTTCTATTCATATAAATATTATACATTGGGAGTGGCTGTCCTGAGAAAGAACTCAAAATTATTAACAACGTTCAGAACAAAAAGAATTATAAAACACAATAATAAATGTAAAATTTTGTTTCAAATACTATAATAATAGGTATAGATGTATTATATAGGCACATTAATTTTTAAGAACCCCAGTTTATTATAAAGTATACATTGCAGAGCTGTATCCTCTGATTTGTGAAAAGTTTTCATAAAACAAGTATTACAGCTTATAACCAATAGTAAGGATGAAATTAATGCTTTTCTTGCAATTTTAGCATTTGTAAGAATTTGAGGAGAAATTAATTGGAAGGCCCAGGGAAGTTTGAAAGGCTAGACATGGATATTTAAGTTGATGCCTTATTTTTTTCTTTCAATAAACATTAATACCAAATAAAGGCATCTGTAATCACCCATTCTACTTAGAGCTAAACTCTTCAAAAGTAACTAACACACTTACTATGTTCCGACTAAATCATGTTTCTGGAAGCCTAATAAGTAAATCAAGGTGAAAAAAGACAGGAAGGGAGGGAGGGAAAGACGGAGGGAGGGAAAGAAAGACAGAAGAAGGAAGGAAGGAAGGAAGGAAGGGGAAGGGGGGGGAGGAATAAATAAATAAATAAATCTTGGCCGCCCCCCCCCCACCAAAAAGTAAAAATTATACATGTTTTACATAGTAAATAGTGGCAAAGTTAAAGGCAGAATGGTGGAAATGGTCACAGAACTCCATGGCTAGTAACAGACAGTAGTCTGTTTAATCCTCTGTCTAGGTCCCCAGTGAGTAACCATGCTCAAAAATGCAATACAATTTCAACATCTCACTTGTAGTGTATAGCAAATGCATAACGAAACGTAAGGTACATCTCAGGGAAATTACAGGGCAGTCACTGGCTAAGAGGGAAGGGCTGACAACAAAACAGGCTTCCTCCAGAGGTTTTTAAGAGGCAGGAAAATTTCCCAGCACTAAGTCCCATTACTCCACACTCTTGAGACTAGAATTTCCTTTACTCTTTCCAAGGATGAACAAGATAAGAGGCCACTCCTTTGACAGTAGTTTGACATTTCTTTAAACCGAAACAGAGGAATGGTCAAATCCATCAGGGAAAGGAGAATCTGAGGCAGAGCTCTGGTCTGTCCCCACACTTGCCTGGTGGATGACGTAGATGCCATATTCCAGCTGCTGCCTCTGCAGGAAGGGATGAAGGTGTTTTAGCAGGTACGTCAGGTGTCTCTCTCTGTTCCGGTGTGGGATGAGGATGGCAACCCGCTGTGAAGCTTTACATTCCTCTGGGTGATAACGGCCTCTGTGCACTTTGGGATTTTCTGCCTGCACATCTTCCAGGGTAAGATCTGGTTTGAAAATGAGCTTGTCCTGACCTCCTACAATTAAAACAGGGTACAGGAAATAGCAGTAGCTATCTCATTAAGTGGTGAGAGGCTTACATGAGCTAGTACATATAAAGCACTTAGAACATTGCCTGGCACCCAACAGAACTCTACATATGTGTTAGCTTTTATTATTACTACTTTAAAGCCTTGTTTGGTCATAAACTACAACCACAGAACCATGTGACTCAGGTTATTGGCTACAAAAGCAAGAAAATAGCATCTAAGAGCATTCCCTTATGGCTGGGTAGCCAATTCTGGCTCTGTGATTCATTCGTAAATTAGAAATGCATTCCGTCCCACTTTCAGCTTTCAGCTCGGAGGAGGCAAAGGTGCAACTTTCTTTGGTCATCCCAAATCTGGGTTCATTCACCACCAGCTGCCTCCAACCATGCCACGGAAGTTCAGCCCCAATGAGATCAAGGTCAAACAACTGAGGTGCACCAGTGGGGAAGTTGGTGCCACATCTGCCGTGGGCCCCAAGATCAGCCCCCTGAGCCTGTCTCCAAAAGAGGTTGGCGATGACATCACCAAAGCAACTAGTGATTGGAAGGATCTGAGGATGAGAACGCAACCAACCATTCAGAACAGACAGGCCCAGACTGAGGTAGTGCCTTAAGCCTCTGCCCTGATCATCAAAGCCCTCAAAGAATCACCACAAGACAGAAAGAGGCAAGAAAATATTAAGCACAGTGGAAATATCACTTTTGATGTGATTGTCAACATTGCCCAACAGATGCAGAACTGATCTTTTGATAGAGACCTCTCTGGAACCATTAAAGGGATCTTGGGGACTGCCTGGTCTGTGGGCTGCAATGCTGAGGTCCTCTACCTCATAACATCATAGATGATGTCAACAGTGGTGCAGGGGAATGTCCAGCTAGTTAAGAACTACAAAGGAAAATATTTCAATTACAGATCATTTGACAACCAAAAAAAAAAAAAAAGGAAGGAAGGAAGGAAAGAAAGAAAGAAAAGAAAGAAAAAGAAATGTATTCTCTCCCAATGACCCTGGTAAAAAGCAGAGGTCAAGACTAGACTAACTTTAAATGTGCTCTATCCATTTTTTCCTTCTTAAAATTCTACAGGAGGGCGAAGCCTCTTAAAAAATCAAGAGCACTCCACCCTGGCTGGTGTGGCTCAGTGGACTGAGCACTGGCCTGTGAACTGAAAGGTTGCTGTTTCAATTCCCAATCAGGATAATATATGCCTGAGTTGCAGGCCAGGACTCTGGTTGGGGGCACCTTGTGAGAGGCAACCGCTATCTCTAATACACTGATGTTCCTCTCCCTCTCCTTCTGTCTCCCTTCCCCTCTCTCTGAAAGTAAATAAATAATATCTTTTTTAAAAAAATCAAGAGCATCCCATGGAATCAAGCTCATGGACAAAACACCTTTCTCAGTTCTTCCCTGAGCTCTTAGGAGCTATCCTAGCTCTCTGAAGGTAAAACAGCACAAGGCAGTAGAAACTAGCCTCACTCCCTAACACAGCAGCAACAGGTATGTGCAACATGGCCAGAAGTGTCCCGCTGTGCCACGGTAACACACATTTGCCCTGCGAGTCTGGATGCAGCCTGGTGAAACCCAAGAACCATCCATGGCAACAAGACTCGCACAAGGCTTTAAAGATCAGGCTAAAGCTACTGACCTTTCTCTTGGATCTGAATTCACGGGGAATGCTGACTAGTAAGAAAGGAGGCAGAGCTCAGTTAGGAAACTGAGCCACACTTTATTAAAATTCCATAGACACTGGTTGGGCTGTGAAATCTCAAGTTGTTTGCAAGTGGTGCTATCCTCTTCTGAGCAAAGCAATCGCAGGCCCTACCTATGTATGTCATGGTACCTTGTTTCAGGTGACCATCACCTATCATGGCTGAGGCTGCTGAGACCAGGTTCTACTGTCCATGAAGTAGTTAAAAGACTCTGTCCAAAAGCATCAAGGGAAAATAACTGTTTACAGCCACCTAGAGAGAGTAACTGGCCTATACGAAAGAGCCTTTCCTGAAGGCTCTGCATGTGAGACGTAGAGATGACAAGGCACTAATGCCCTAAAGCCCTAAAAATGAGCACCAAAAAAAGGAATACTGTGAAAGGCAATCTACTAGAGCTGCTGCCAGGCCACAGAACTGCAGGGAGAGGACAGTCGTGTGGCTGTGGAGATGGTTTCCTGTGCAGTCTGTCATAAGCCCCATCATCCAAGCTAACCTTCTGTATCTCTGTTCTTGGCCCCTGAAAGAGCCCCATGCAACAGCCTGATATAAACCAGTCCCTTTGCTTACTTTCTCATTGTCATCAGGGCCCTAACCTTCCTGTTCCCACATATTCTACCAGTCTCCCTACCACCCTCATGACATCCTCTCAAATTCTGTTCCTTCTGGTCCATCTTCATCCATCACTAATTATGTCACTCTCTTAATCCAGGTCCTTGATCGATTTGTGCCACTGCCCATCTATTTTTGCAAATGCAGTTATTACTTCAATAAGTTGTGAGGATTTTGAACGAGAAGGATAACACTGTCAGATCTGCATTTCAATAGCTCATTTTCTAATCTCAACTTGTGTAATTTGGGAGCAGAATAATTCCCTCACACAATCAGAAGTAGCATGCTGTCTTTTCCAAGACCAGGCAAAGAGGAGTGGCAAGCCAATATGAACACAATACAAGACCGGGATTCAGTTAGGAAAGCAGGTCTGCAGGTTTCTGTTAAGAGCAAAAAGCCTCCAAAGAGCCCCAGACGGCCCCACAAAGAGTTAATTTAGTGCATGCAGAGAGCCCCCTCTGTGGGACAAAAGACACTGGACTCTGCCGACTGGAAAGGCTCACCCTGCCTGCACACTATGCCCTGGGGAAGAAAAAGCAAACACAGGAACAATACACTGAGGTCAGCACAACAGAAAGAGAGGCAGACACACAGTGAGCATGAGATTTCTGGGGCAGTCCCATGAACCTTTTGGGTAGAGAAGTTATCTAAGCTAGATTTTTTGATGAATAAACAAGAATCTGCCAGGCAGACATGAACTGAGGAAAGGCGTTCTTGAAAAAGGGAGCAACATCCAGGCTCAGAGGAGTGTCTGGCAAACTACTAGCACTTTAATGTTCTGAAGAATCAGAGGTTTGATATATAATATTGCAGTGGAGTTTTTCTCTCTAATTAACATGTTCACTAGAACCAATTTACTGTTCACTGAACTTGAAAGGCAATGTATCAAAGGGGAATCATAGCATACAACATATTTAAGAAATAAACACTAAAGACAACATTGAAGGACAGACACAGTCATGTTCCTCAACTGCATACTTTTGGCCAAGGGGATGCTAACAGATGGGACACAAGTGGAGGCTTAAATGTGCTTGCATTTCTCTACTTCTGGTCCACAGATGCCAGGATAGGAACAAGTCTGGGTTATCCTGTTGGTTCCAGGAGAAGGAAGACACAGGGAGTAGGCCCACCAGCCTAGGCCAACTGACCCTGAGCTCATCCCCAGATTTGTGAGCTATATAATACCTGTTGGTGTATGCTTCTGAGACTTAAGTGGCTACATAATAAAACTGGCTATGTTCATGTAGTAAAACACTCTACATCAGCAGTATGGATACAGCTCACAAACATAAGATTGAACAATGGAAATCAGACACAAAGGAGTAGACAGTGTATGTTTCCAATTATGCAAAGTTGAAAAACAGGAAAAAAAAAATCTGTGGATGGTGTTAGAAACTTGAAGTAAAGGTAGTAAATGAAAGAAGTATGGGAACTTCTAGGACTATTCCATTTCTTAATTTACATACTGGCTGCACACGTATGTTCATTTTGTGAAACTTAACCAAGCTGTACACTTCTGATTTTTGTACTTTTCTATACATGTATCTAATAGTTTATGTAACATTGGTAAACAAAAAAAAGAAAAAGAAAAAAAATACTTACTGAGGTATGGAGAGACAGAGGGGCAGTTGTCCAGATCTGCTTTATTTGCAGATACTTCGTTAATCAGAGTTTCTTTCTTCCCCAAAACCATGGCCTTCTTGAAATTAGCAATGAAATCCTTTGCTTTAGGGATCTCTTGAATAGCACCCACAAAGTAGTTACTGGTAGCCCACCCAACCACTGTCAGGCATAAAGTGAAAAGCAACAGTAATCGGAATTTGTAGGAAAGGTAGAAAGTCATGTGGAGGCCCATGTCTTTTATTACGTGAGCAAGATGTATCACTCTGCCTCACTGCAGGCAGGAAGCTCCAAGTTCAACTTTTCCAATCTGATTGTACACTTGATGACAACTAAAGATGCAATGCCTGCTTCTGCTCAGTAGTTCTGCTCCAGCAATCTCTAGAAGGCAATCAGAAAGACAGGTTTCAAAAGAAAATCCTATCCTGAAATAATTCACATCCGCACAAATGGAAAACCCATCCCCAATGGATGCTGACTAACAGTAATGGGCGTTCTCCAAGCAGAGTTTAGAGATCAGAAGCTCAAGGATTTGAGAGGTAGAAGGTTCCAATCACATACACATCACAGGAGTTCTCTCTGGGTCATCACCCAGGCTGTCTGCCACTTGAAAGAAAAGCCATGTCCAGATGTTGCACAGGGGTGGAAAACAGAGACTATAAATGTCTCCTCAGTTCTGAGCTAGGCACAGCCTAAAACACTGGCACAGCTTTAACAGAAGGTTAACAACAGGGGAAATCTTGTTACGGAGAACAAAACAAAAGCTGTTCTCTGTGAGAGCTAGAAAAATGTGTTCCTCGGCAGGGGATGAAAAATTAAGGCTTTTCATAATGAGGCACTGGCGCGGCTAGGCATATCCCAACAGGTGGGGGAGGAAGGGGCAAGAAACATAGGAGAAGGCAGACACAGGAGGCCAATCACCTGTAAGAATAAGAGGTAAAACTGTTTACGGTCAGGGGTTCTGATTCAGGCAGAAACCTACAGCTCTACCACATACTGGCCATGAAATCTGGTCTTTTCTATAAAATGGGGATAAATATAGTACCTACCCAGAGGTGTTATTGTGGGACTGGATGACCTAATGTATTCATACATCAAGTGTTAGCCCACCTCCTGACACACAGTACGCACCCATGGTGACTATCACTGCTGCTATTGTTCTATGACTTCACCTGAAGTAACCCTAGATTAGTGACAGCCAATAGGCAGACACACTCGAGGTTGCCAGGATCACGACTTTACCATATTTCTCACTGTCACTTTATAAACTGCCGTGCTGATTTCACACTTCAGTATGACTTCATCTCTGAGAGACAGCTATGCTCTCAATTATTGACAAAAGTCCAGTTTCTGAGGCCACACAGGCAAGAGCCCTCCCAGACCATGGTGAGTGCACTGAGGTGATGAAGTCGCACATCCTCTCTGTATTGCCAAAACCACTTCTAATTCTAAACATGTTATCAGAAGAATGCAGAGATGCTAAAGCCAGAGCACTGATAATCTCTATAGCCAAACATATCTTCAATTAAATGAATAGAATGGAGATGAAAATATTTTCTATGCCAAGTGACAACATGGAAACACTTGATTAAATCTTAAGTAACAGAAACAAGAGAGAATATAAACTCTATATGTGTGCATGATTACCACTAAAATTACAGAAATAAGAAAACTCTCAAAAAATATAGAGCGAAAGGCTAGCAATAATTGTGTCAGAAATATGGGATTAACCAGGGGTGTATTTTTTCTCTTTTCAGAATTTTGTATGACATAGTTCTGTCTTTTATAATAAAAACAAATCTTCTTTTTTTTAAATGATATGTGGGGACGTGGTAATTTACTATGAAAAACAAAAACAAAATCTTAGCAACTCTTAAGATGGCCTCATCACTTACTGAAGGGTGATATTTCAAAAATTTAGCTCTAGGTTGTTTGAGGAAAACCTAGAAAGCATTTCTCTTTAGACACAATGTAATAAATAGAAGTTAAGTTCCTGTCAAGCCAAAAGAGATGTGACCCAGGAAGGAATTAAACAGTATGGCTTGTATTTAGTCTTGAAGGTATCCTAAGAAATAACAGTAACAATAGCTAAGAGCAATTATTTGTGCATTTACTCTGTGCCATGCACTGGGGTTAAATCACTTGTATTACTTACTTAATTTTCATCTCAACCTTAGGAGGTAAGAATTATTAGTCTCCTCATTTTATAGAGAAAATAAAGGTTTAGACAGATTAAAAAACTTGCCCAAGACTACATAAGTAGTAAGTGGTGAAGCTAGGGTCTGAGCCCATGCAGTCAGCTCCAAAGCCTGGGCTTCTGCCACATCCTTCACATAAACATTTCAATCTCCTTCTTGGGGCCTGGGTGCACCCAATACAAACCTTTGAAATACAGTTTTTGTTGTAGTTTGTTTTTCTCTTTTGGCAGCATTCTGCCTTTCTCCCACATCCTCCTGTCCCTTTTCTTGGGCCTGTTTGTTCAAACGGCTTCCTGGAGTCTTCCTTGTGTCTTCCCCCAGGTAAGTCTGCAAGTGCCCAGAGCCAAGCAGACAACCTCTTATGGACTTAATTACAAGAAGCTTAAATGCTAGTATTGGCAATAGTTTATTCAAATCTCAATCTTAGAAAATCTAGACTGGGAACAGTGAAGGGATAGTCCCCTGCCAGGGAGGCCCACCTGCCTGAAGGAACTTGTGACCACAGTAACGCAGTAGAAAACACACACATCCATCCCCCAGCATTTTATGGAGGGAGGAAGTGCAATTTGGAGAGATTTAAAAACCTTCCAAAGCAGTGAGCTGGGAATAATTGTAGACTACTATTGCTGAACTAGTATGACATAGTTCTGTCTTTTATAATAAAATTTTAATTATAAAGCCAAAGATAAGAAATTTGTTATTAAAGGAGCCATTCTTAATGGTTACTTAATAGTTAGGCTTCATTGTTAACCCTGCTTATTGAGACTATGTGGGATCCAGTTGAAAATAATCACTTCTCACTTCTTCCAGTCTGAGCGCTCTCCTCAAAACTGACTATACATGGAGCTGGCATGAAGGAAGCTTAAGTGTGAGGTCTCCACAGTCCTATGAGCAAACATCCAAGAGGTGAATGGTCTATAACACAACTGTCTTTGAAGACAGATTTCCTGCCCAGCCTGCTTATCTCCTAAGTGACTGAAGACAATCCCTTTAGCATGTTATTCCAGGTAGAAAACAGTAAAAAAAAAACAAAAAAAAACTTAAACCAGTTACTATAAGAATTTAATAAGATATATATACACAAACACACCTGGTACATTCCCAAGAACATACTAAATATTAATTGACTCTGATTATCAGTGTGATTCATGCTCAAATTTTACCAGAATGCTAATCAAGATGTTACCTCTGTAGTTACATACTGAAATAGATGATTTTTATCTCCTATTTCTCTGTAATTTCCTATTTTTCTTTCAATGAGCATATATTTTTATAATTAAAAAAATAAGGATTTCAAAAAATTTTTTATTTATTTTTAGAGAGAGGAAAAGGGAGGGAGAAAGAGAGGGAGAGGAACATCAATGTGTGGTTGCCTCTCACATGCCCCCCACCAGGGACCTGGCCCACAACCCAGGCATGTGCCCTGACTGGGAATAAAACCAGTGACCTTTGGTTCACAGGCCCGTCACTCAATCCACTAAGCCATACCAGCCAGGTCAAAAATAAGAATTTTTAAACAGAAATTCTTTTTAGGGCAGGAAACTCCTGGTTGGTGTTTGGGGAAAATGTTATCAGGATAGACTTATGTAACATTTAAAAAACTGAGAGACCCTGAACTCTCTCTGAAGAGTCTTCTTTTTCAGTCAGGGCTGTCTTGAAGTAAAGGGAATCGTGGCTGTAGAGAACAAATTCAGGTAACATGAAAGAAGTTATTTTAGGGCAAGACTCACCACCCTTTTCCTTTATAGAAGTTTGCCCTAGAGTTAGTTCAAAATGATGTTTTCATAATTTTGTTTTTCCTCTTCTCAATTCAAACAGTCTTTCCTGAGCACTTTCTATTTTCAGGCATAGAGCTGAACATACAAAGGGAAGACAAAGGAACTGAGGCATAGTCCTTACACTCAGAGTTTATTTCAATCCTTTCTTAGACTTTAGTGTCTCTGACTTGTTTTCAAATAGGCTAGCCCAACTTGAAAATGGGGAAATAAATGAAATAAGATTGGCAAAATATTGAGAAGTATTGAAGCTAGGTAATAGGTACCTGAGGGTTCATTTTCTTTTTCTCCCTACTTTTGTATATGCTTGAAATTTTCCAAATAACAAAGAAAAATTCTAGCAAGGAAGACAAGCTATAACAAAAGGTAAATCAGCACAAATGCTAAGTATCATTCATGGAGAATCTCTATACACACAAATTTTGCACCACCATGGGTGGTGGGGGGACAGAAAGAACAGTGGACAGGACATGGGGTGTTGCTCCATAAGTTTTACTAAGTACGTATCCACTCGGAAGAAAGGATGTGGTTTCCATTTGGCTGCCACAGGTGCCAAAACCACATTCTGATGTTTTTAAATCCACCTGGTAATCCTGAAGACAAAGGGCATCTCAGAGCGGGCATGATGCGGCCCCAGGCACATGGTCGTACTGCCTTCGTTTCTCTAGGGCAGCACCAGTGGAAAGGTGATAATTTGCTACCCCTTTACTCCTGCAGAGTGCCTGAGGGCTGACTATTTTGCACACGTTTGTCCTACCTTCCTCGGGGCTCTGGTATTCCTTCTCCCAGTTATAGCCCCTTTACCTGGTTTCTGAGTAGTCACTGCCCAGACCCTAAAGAAGCAAGGCTTCCCTGGGTGGGGGACAAGGTGGGAGAGAAATGGCAGCCATTTATATATACAAGTCATTTAAACTCTAAAACTGAGCTCCTAATGGCCAAAACTGGAAGCATTTGAGCAAGAAAATAATGATGGTATATATGAAAATCTGTAAGTAATCGTATTCCTAACTGAGCAGGTCATGGTGCACAGTCACACATCAGGCCTGTAACTTCTTTAGTGAAACGTTATTAAGCAAGCCCAGTCCATTGTTCTTGTGTATCTAGGTTAACACACCTTTGAAATGTCATAAGCAATAGCCTCAAAGGCCTAACCACCCTCAAGAGAGCACATAATCTTAACTAACCTGTAATCCAATCCCCATCTTGCATTCTCCCACCTTTATGTAATCTTCCTTACTGTTCCTCTTTAATTTCAAATGCATAAAAGAAACTACGAAACTGTTACTCTCCAAAGCATCTGAGATCTTGCTTCCTAGCCATTGTCAGTTTGGCTCAAATAAATTCTTATGACAACTCTCTATAGGTTTGGATGTTTCTTATGTTGACAATGGCATTGTATTGTAAGCCTCCAAATAAAGTATATATCCATGAGTCTGCAATGATATAAATGGTCAAATAAATATATTAATTCCTATAGTTAACTTCCAATTAATAAGGAAGCAGGACATGAAAAAACAAACACCAGGCAAACACCACCATATTAATTGGTGCACACAAGATCCACCAACAGGTACTAAAATTAGTGGGTGAAAATTCAAGGACAGACAGTTTTATAGTCTCAAAATATCTCCCTCAGGATAATTATTAACTACAAAGGAAAGACAGTTAACTTTATAGGGGAGAAACCTAGCAGATTCCACCTTAACCAAGTGATCAAGATTAGTATCGCCAGTGGTAAGATCATTAAATTCCATGAATCAATAATACTCTAATTGGTACTAGTGTACAAAACTTTAGTCTACAATAACTAGTTGGTACTCTTTTAAGAGGGTCAAAAGAATGAAAGACAAGGGAAAAAACTTGGGAACTATCTCAGACTGAAGGAGACTAAGGAGAAATAATTAAATGCAATGAGTAGGATCCTTTATAGACTGGAAAAAGAAAAAAATAAATCATCAGCTTCCAAAAGGGACGGCTGGCAGCAAGAGCCCTCCAAGGCAATTGAGGACAAGAGGGTTGAGCTCATGATCCACCACTCCATGGGCCCTCCATTTCTTGGTAGCTATCCTTTGCCACTGATGCCATTATGGGTGTATGGGTTGCTTTCTGTCTTTCAACAGTTACTGAAGTGCCACGCCTGGGATCTTGTTGAAGAAAGCTGGATACAGTCAACAGAAAGAATCTTGGAAATGGCTTGACTGTTGCCTTTTCTCAGGCTAGTTTTAAAGAGAATACCGCCAATTCATTCTAGGTTGGTGGATCTGAAGTACAAAATATTTTCTTTCTTTCTTATTTATTTTATTTATTTTTAGAGAGAGAGGGAGGAAAATACTGATGTGCGTTTACTTCTCACACGCCTCTAACTGGGGATCTGGCCTGCAACCCAGGCATGTGCCCTGACCCAGAATTGAGCCAGTGACCTTTCAGCTTGCAATGCCCAACCCACTGAGCCACACTAACCAGGGCTGAAGTACAAAATATTTTCCTGATAAGTAATGGAACATCATCTATGATCGTCTCCAAAAAAAGAGGCCATCAGAAGGAAACTATCAAAAAAGAAAAACTTGTGTATGAAATATTTTGACCAGTGGTCTGAAACGGATCAAGTGGAATTTGTGGAGTACCTGTTTCTGGAATGTATCATTACCAGTATGGACATATTAACTTGTACCTGAAGCCCAAGTTGCCACTTGGCTTCTTTTGAGGACTTTATTGCCACTTTACCAGAGCAAGGCTTAGATCACATAGCAGCAAACATTCTTTCCTACCTGCATGCCAGGTCTCTGTATGCAGCAGAGCTGGTATATAAAGGACAGCAAGTGATCTCCGAAGGAATGCTTTGGAAGAAGCTGATGGAATGAATGGTGCACACTGACCCTCTGTGGAAGGAACTTTCAGAAAGAGTGTGATCAGTACCTGTTTAAAAACAAACCTACAGATGGCCCTCACAATTCATTTGACAGATCATTATACCCAAAGATTATCCAGGATATAGAGACTATAGATTCTAACTGGCGATGTGGACCACACAACTTGCAGAGGATTCAGTGCCACTCTGAAAACAGTAAAGGTGTCTACTGTTTACACTATTATGGTGAAAAGAATTATCAGTGGCCTATGAAATAATTCTATTAAGATGAGAGACAAAACCAGCTTCGAATGTTTGAAAGTGTTAACACTGGCTCCTTTGTCTCCAGGATGATGAATGTGTCATTGTGAACTAGGTCTTTAGACTCTACAGTGAGACTCTGGGAGGTTAACATGGGTGAAGTTCTGAATATGCTGATTTACCAGATGAGGCTCTACTGCACTCCGCTTCAGCAATGGAATGATGGTGACCTGTTCCAAGGACTGTACTATCGCTGTGTGCGACATGGCTGCTGCCAAATTGTTAGCACTTTACTTCATGTCCTGGTCAGCCACCATGCTGCTTTCAATGTAGTAGACTTTGATGATAAGGACATCGTGCCTGCCTGTGGTGACAGAACCATCAAAGTCTGGAGTGCGAGTACCTGTGAATTTGTTCATACTCTGAATGGGCACAAGTGAGCTATTGCCTGTCTCTGGCTGGTTGTTAGTGGATCATCAGATAATACCATCAAGTTATGGGATACTGAATGGTGCCTGTTTAAAGGTTCTAGAGGGATATTAAGAACTGGTCTAATGCATCCAGTCTAATAAGAAGAGAACTGTCAGCGTGGCCTATGATGGGAATATTAAAGTTTGGGACTTGCAAGTTGTTCTCGACCCTTGAGCCACAGCAAGCACATTGTGTTTGTGCACATTGGTGGAACATTCTGGACGTGTGTTTTGGCTACAGCTTGATGAACCGCAAATCATTAGCAGCTCTCATGATAACACTATTTTGATTTGGAATTTCTTAAATGTGTCTCCCAGTGCCCAGAATGAGACCTGTTCTCCTCCAGAACATACACTTACACCTCCAGATAACAGTCTGCACTTTACCTCTTCCAGAGTTTCCTAGTCTTGAACTCCTGGCTACAGGGCCACCAATGCCTAAGGCAGTTCTCCACATTAGTTATAAGCTGGAATTGGTTCTAGACGCTAGGCAGATGCAAAACTGCCTAACTCTTCAAGTACCGGCATTTCTCACCTCCAATTCTAGCCTCCACTTTGAGAATACCTTAGCTTCACTGACTTCAAGTAGGACAGAAGCCCATTTCCTCCCTCCATTAGAGAAAAACATCGAATGCTTCATATATAAATTGTTCATATAGAAGGAACATATGGTCTATTCTCCAGAAGTAAATCAACAATCAAGAGAAGACTTGGCCTCTAATTTATATTGCTTTGCACTCTGGTCTGCTATTAACAAAGAACATTCTTCTTCCGTGAAATTTTGGGTGCAGGACCTACCCAGAATGTCCAGGGCTTTCCTTTTCAGAAGTTAACATCCCCTTTTGACTGTTCACATCATTCTGAATTCTGACTTGTACTAAGAATATGTTAGACAATGGCAAAATTTCTCTGGGTTATTTTAGTAATTTTTTTCTTTTCTTTTTTTTTTTTGCTTTACACTTTCTTTCTGTGCCATTTCTTCAGAACTATAAACCAGGTTACATTACCCCCAAACAGGTAATACTTTATTAACCATATTTGATATTTGGTAGACTAACATCTTTACACACCTGTTTGCCTAATTTAAATACTATATCCATATGTAGATATAATGTACATAAAAGTTTAAGCTCAAGATGAAGTCAAGCCCTCCCCCTCCCCCATGCCTGACATACTACTACAGAGTGTGTTCCCACTTAGTCATGGGCTGGGCTCAAGAATCTGATACCAGGGTTGATATGGGGTATCTAGAACCCTTCCTGCTCTATTCGTATGTTTTATTTTGTCATTGTCACTGTGTGTGGTGTGTTTTTTATGGGAATCTTGTTTTAAAATGTAATTTCTAAAGTTTAACACAGAAATTTTTTTGTACTTTTTTTTTTAAAGATTTTATTTATTTTTAGAGGGGAAGGGAGGAGAAAGAGAGAGAGAGAAACATCAGTGTGTGAGAGCAACATCTATTGCTTGCGTCTCGTACATGCCCCAACCAGGGACCTGGCCCTGCCCAGGCATGTGTCCTGACCAGAAATCAAATTGGCAACCTTTCATTTTGTGGGATGATGCTCAACCAACTAAGCCACTCCAGTCAGGGCCAAAATGTTTTATTTGCTGTGCAGTATATGCAATAACGAGGTACCTTTTGTTGTTTTCCTCATTAAGTTCTCCAGAGTACTAGTGGTCACTTCCCATAATATTCATTTGACTTCACTGTCAAAAATCATTATTCTGTGGGTTAGTGACCCTTGGGAGGGAAGAACAAGAAGGCCCTGTTGACTGAGTTTCCTGGCTCTGGAATTCACGTATCCTGGCCTTGTCAGGATTTTAGCAGGTATGCTTGTATGTTGGAGCCCATATACCAGGTCACGCTGGTTCAGAGGCCCATCTTGAATGAAAAGTAAGCCTACATGGTAAAGGCTCACACTCATGAATCCCATCCCCACCATCTCTAGTGTTACCTGCCGATGTGGCCCTGGAAGGTTCTTAAGAGTCTCAAAGTGCTCAGCAGCCCAAGTGTGTGAATGGCTCTATCATACTAACCATGGGTGGAAAGCCCTTTGGATCCAATTGGCACTCCTTTTCCCTTGTTCAATATTAGGTTTTGATTTGCCCCTTTCTATTGTTTCCAAAGATCAAGGAATGTCAATACCATTTTAAAGGACCAATAAGAACTTCCTGTTAATGAAAACTCTTCCCACGGAAGCACAATCTACTACTAAAAGGAAGGTCCCTAGTCTGTTTTGTCCTCTGCACTGAGAACAGTGTGGGTATGTGATTTGTTCATTGGGTTAGCTTTGTTTTTTCCTTTTTTTTTTAAATACAGTCCTACATGTTACAAAATTAATTTCTATTTTTAAGAAGGTGAGTCTAAAAGTATAAAAAAAAACAGTCCTGGCCAGATAGCGCAACTGGTTAGAGTGTTTGTCCCAATATACCAAGGTTGCAGATTTAATCCTCAGTGGGGGTATATATAGAAATCAACCAATGACAACAAATCGATCTCTCTCAAAAAAAAAAAATCAATAAATTAAAAAATAAAAGTGTAGTAATATAAACCTCCACTCATAAGGTAGATGTTGTAAGCTTGACAGTAGTTGTGAAAGAGATTTAACTTTCGCCACTCTTCATCATACAGTGTTACTAGCAAACTGGTTAGGAGAGTCCTGGGGAGCAGTGGAATACAAAGGAGAAAGAAATTCTTCTGAATTAATGGACTTTCTGTTGTTGTTTAATATAAAGTTCTTGTTCCTTGGGAAATCAAGGCATTTGAATATTCATATCACATTTGAAAACTGCCTACTAAATTATAGCAGGGTAGTTTGCCACCCAAGGAATTCTGACTTTCTGGGATTATAGTAGTAATTTGCAACTATAAATCACTGCTTTATTCATGTTTTAAAGCACTGGGATAGTCTAATTCTAACTTGTAATTAATAATGCTTGCCAATTATCTATTTGAAATAAATTTGTGTCTGAACAGCTATCAAAACTATTAAATTGTACAGATATCATTCATGACATCTTTGTACTATAGAATGTGCTTAATAAAAAAACAAAAAGTTGACCTTTGTCTAAAAAATTGCTAAGTGACGTCAATAAATCAAGTATGGGTATTATGCAGGATATCTAATCTCGCTTCATGCAATGGTTACTTTAGCTATTAATTCAAAGCCAGTACTCTTAATAAAAAATGTTGCAATACTCTGAAAAAAATGTATCATTAGCAGAAAAACTGATGAAATTAGCAGAAAAACTGATGAAATTCAAACAAAGTCTGCAGTTAATTGTATTGATAACTGAACAAAGGTTATATAAGGGATTACATTAAGGGAAGTTGAGTTAATTCTCTGTATTATTTTTGCAACTTGTCTCTAAGTCTAAAATTAAATAAAAATTAAAAGTTTAAAAAAACGTTGGAGACTGAGTATAACCCAACATATGGCAGTAAAATTAACTTAATTCTCAAAGAGAATCACTGATTTCTGTATTCCTATGACCTGACACATAGCCAGGGCTGAATTTGGCAAATAATAAATTACTTTGTAGGATATGTAGTTAAAATACATAAAGACCTTATAAAAACAGCTGAAATGCAAAAAAAGAAGGGGGAGGAAGAGGAGGAAAATAATGATTAATAAGGAAGGGGGAAAATTAACGGGGTGTAAAATTACATTTTGGGAAGATTTTAGAAAATGAAAAGGCTTCCTCTTCCCATCCCTGGCGTCCCGCCACTCCCGGGCTAGCTCCCGTCAGTTTCCTAGCACCAGCGCTCTCCTAGGGGAGAGCTCCATCTCTCTTAGATGGGACTTTCTTTTGGTCATGCCCACCACCTTCTGCCCTTCTTCCACTGAGCACTCCAAAGCAGTGCCCCTCTTTTCTGACTCTGAGTACTTCATTTGCCTGTTCCTCTCTAAACGCATGGAGCACAATGAAGCATCTGGGCAAGAGATACCAGATGATCCTGCATCACCCATTTTACAGCAAGAATTGTCACAAAAAGGTCAGGTAACATGAAGTAAATTTAACAAGCAAAGGACTGAAATTGTTTTATACAGTCTATGTTATGCCATATAACAGGATTCATAGGAATTTCTAATGGGAGATTTTAATGGAGATTCAATGTGTACTGATGTGTCATTTTCAGCTATCCCAGAGAACCCTGCACTGGGGTCAGAGTTCCCCTTCTGCAGTTATTAGGGACAGCTCAATGGGAAGGTTTGAAAAAGTCTCAGGTAATGGGGAAAAAAAGGCCTCTGAAGTCTCAAAGAGCTGAGTTCGAATCTTAATAGGCATATAAATGGCTTTGGACAAGTGACCCAAATTTCTGAGTGTGTTTTGCCAATATTTAAAAAGTATTTTTTCAAAGTGTGGTTCCAAGAATGCTTATAATACCTAATACAGAGGGGTATTTGTTAAAGTTGCAGGTTCCTGGGCCCTACTCTCAGGGCAGCCGGGCCAGGGACTCAGGAAAGTGAATTTGTAACAAGCTCCTCAGGTGATTCTTAGACGCATTAAAGTTTGAGAACCACTGAAATAAGAGAATGGGCCTGAAATGTAATAGATCCTTCAGAAACGTTAACTTTCCTTCTAATTAGGAAAAGCAATAAGGACATGTGCAAATTAGGTTTTAAAAGTGCATTTCAGTAAGTTTTGACTTCATCAACCAAGATTACTAAAATAACAAAAACTGAACAGAATCAGTGTTACTATTAGGGAGCTGATTTAATTAATTACAGTAACTCAATATGATGGAACATATGTTTTCATTAAAATGGTGTTTTAAAACTTAACTACATGAAAAAGAGCTCATAATAGCTTAAGTGACAAAAAAAGAATATAAAAATGTGCATAAAATACAATCCCAATCATGCCAAATATGTGTGGTGTGCATGCCTTTTACATGTAAATGACAAAAATGTAAAATGACAGAAATTACTGGTAGTTATTTCTTAATTACAGAATTAAGGAAATTTTGTTTCTTCTATATCTTCTGATTTTTCTAAAATGGGATTTTATGATCATAAACAATTTTTTCAGGCAAAATGACTACATAATTTTCCTTTAAAATACATTACAATTTAGAGATGACACAATAGACGGGGATTATAACTTTCAGTTACTTAAATTTGGCAGCAATTCACTCAAATAACCTTCGAGTATGTCTGTTTCAAAGAGACCCCAACAAGCCTGAATCTCAAAAAACAAACAAACAAAAACCCTCAGAAGCTATCAATAATTTCAATGCCAGAAAATCCTGTGGCCTCTGTATGAAATTACTATTCTTAAACTCCACCCCCAGAGAGTTTTATTTCAAAGGCTTGAGGCTAGGCCAGGGAATCCATATTTTCAACAGGAAGCCAGATCGGTTTGAGAAACAATTGTTCATTGATGGTTTAAAAAGAGAGAGAGAAGAAAACCACCATTGATTTGCTTTGGATATTTCCACCCCGAATAAAAGATCTTCAAAGGGATGGTTAGTTCCTAAATCGCTTGCATGCATCTCTGGGTAAAGCACACATTAAATAACACTCAATTTAATGTAGATACTAAATACTTATTTTATCAAGTGGCATGTAAAATGTAATAATATAGTAAAGCTAGTTTTATCCCCCTCCCCTAAGATTATGTGGTCAAATAGTTCAGTACTTCTCTTCAACAGATGTTTTCGATCTGATCAAAGCATGGATCATGAAAGTTTTTGCAATTTCATGGGGTTTAAAGGCCAACTCTGCTCTAAAAGATAAAATTCCCAAAAGATAAATCATGGTCCAATACAGCACTGTCTCCTCCCTCTAGAGTTACATTCCAGCACTCCTGTTAGCCAGGTGCCTAAAATCACCCTCCTTCTCTCTTTTTTAAGCCTACTTTCTCAGTCTGGATCCTGAATCCTATTCGTTCCTAGTCAAGATTCCCTGACTTTCTTGCATTTTCAATATATTATTTTCTTTTCTTTAAAAATTTAAAAATTCAACAATGAAAAACTTTGCTCAACTCTGAAATTATAATCTTCTTCTTCCTCGTTTTCATCATCAAACAGCTAGAAAGGTCTCCCAGTGCCCTGACCGCCTCTGGGTCCTCATCGCTCACCTACTCTTGAACACTTCAACCTGGCGCACGCCCACCCAGTTGGTAACTGCTGCCCTAAAGCTATCAACCCAAAGACCTTTCTTTTCTCAGTCTCAATTCTCCACAACTTTTTTTTTCTCCCAAACCTAGGTTTAGCCCTTGTCTAATGGAAGACCCAATAAACACCCACAGACAGCCGTGGGTGGACACAGAGCCCAAGGGCAGGTATCTCAGAAGTACTTCATTTTTTTAATTTTATTTTTTCAATTACACTTGATATTCAATATTGTATTAGGTTCAGCAATACAACATAGTAGTTAGACAGGATATAACTCAAAAGTGATTCCCCTTCTACGAGTCAAGTACCCACCTGGCACCATACATATTTATTACACTATTATTGACTACATTCCCTATGCTGTACATTACATCCCAGTGACTACTTAGTAACTATCAATTTGCATTAAGTACTTTAAAATCCAGATGGCTCTCACAACTCCTCACCCCTGCAAGCCCCTAGGCTGGAATCAACTGTCAATTTCCCAGTAGAAACTCTAGGGAAAGAGGGCTCCAGTGAAGAAGGGGCTTTTTCATGTTGATGCTCCCGCTCAGTGAGAGAAGCTGGAGAGAGACCCCAGAATCGTGAAGCCGAGCCTGAGGAGAGAGAGGGACCCCTTAATCTCTTCCTACCAGGGAGCTTCTCGCCAGGCAGCTCCTCTCCAGGCTCCCCGCCGGCGGCAGAAGGGAGCGTCGCAACGGCGCCCGCACCTGAGCCGATGCTACTCGCCCAGCTCGGCCTCTGCAGGCTCCCGGTGCGGCCCGACCGCTCGGACTGAAGTAGGACAGCCTCACCGAGGCAGGGCCGCGCCAGCCCACGCGCCCCAGCCCTGGCCCGAATCCCGCGGACCAGCCGGAGATGCCCACGCGGCGCCCGCCACCATCCTCCGCAGGAAGTGCGCCTCCCGCGCGCCGGCGGAGCCAAGGCCCGGCGTACTCACCCTAGACGTGGCCTCGGTCAGCACCGCCCGGGGAAAGAGAGAGGGTGGTGGGAACTGGCCTTGGGGACCTCCCGGCCTTCAGAGCCAGGCTCCGGGGCGGGCCGCAGGCTCCGCCCCCTCCCCGTGCGGACCGTCGCGCTGGCGCTGCCCTGGGGGCGGAGCGGCCGGTTCCTCCGCAGGCCTAGCGCTCCACCCCTGGTTCGAACGAGCCCACCCGGACGCCGGGGCAGGCACCGAGAGTAGGGAGAGTTGGACAGCTTGTGCTTTAAGTGATCTTAAAGTCTGAAGCCAATGCTGCCCGAGGTACTGGGCGACTCCTCAATTCCATCCCAGTAAATGCTCACGAAGCACTGGAAAGAAGAGCCAAGGCTGAGCTGCCTGCCCCAAGCCAAAACCGTGAAAGAGCACTGAAGACTTTCAAGTGCCTTGTGCTCTAAGCACAAACAATAGAAACCCGCTCTGGAAGAAGCGTCCTTTATTGAGTCCCATAGGATTCAAGCAAATACAAATTCACAATTTAAAAAAATAATAATAATAAGCGCAAGAGACCCCACGTAAGTGTCAGTCAGCAGGACCCAATACCCAACAGATTCAGACTCCTCCTCCTCCAAGGACATCGAATATTAGAATTGTCTAACACAATATAGAAGAGGCTTTTCTTTCTTTTTGAAAATTTTAAAGAAAAAAATAGGAAGTCCCTAGGTTATAATGGGGCTAGTGTAACTTTACATTGGAGAAATCTGACAGATACCACCTTTGCCCAGTACTCAAAGTTAATTTAACCAATAGTACAATTTGGAATCACACATGAGGTGATGCTCTGAGGATATGACATCACCTTTATTGTAGTCCTGCCAAAAATACACGGTTGGAATTTAATCATGTGGTAACAGTCAGACACCCGAATTAAGGGATATTGTACAAAATAACTGGCCCATGCACTTCAAAAAAATGTCGATGTCATGAAAGACAAGAAAAGATGAACTGTTTCGGATTAAAGGACTCTAAGGAGTTTTAACGTCTAAATTCCTAAATTGGAAAAAATTACTACATAGTAGAGACAACTGGCATTGAATATGTACAATGTGATAGATTAGAATTAGCATCAAATTCTTCCACAGTCCTCTAACTAAGAAATGGGGATATATTTCCCATCCTTTTTTTTTTTTTTAATTCTTACCAGAGTACATTTTTTCCATTGCTTCTACAGAAGGAGCGAGGGAGAGAGAGAAACATCAGTACAAAAGAGAAACATCGATTTTTTGCCTCCCCAATGTGTCCGGGACAAGGGATTAGACATGTCGGAACTGGGGATCACTGGTGCCCCAACTGGGACAGGGAATCAATCAACTGCAATCTCGGTAAGTGCCCTGACTGAGAATCAAACGTGCAGCCTTTCGGTTATAAGAGAATGCTCCAACCAACTGAACCACAGAGCCAGGGCTTTCCTGTCTGTTTAAATTTGAGATGGCCTGTGAGTGCTTTGACAAATGAAGTAGAGCGGAAGTGAAGCTATGCCAATTCTGAACTCAACCTTTAAAAAGCAATTTCTGCTTCCTCTTCCAGTATATTTTGTCAAAGCAGTCACACAGCAGCCCAGATTTAATAAAGAAATATAGCCTCATTTCTCAGTGAGAGAAATGCCAAAGAATTCAAGGTTATTTTTAATCTACCACACTGTACATACTCGTTTCCAGTTGTCTCAATGAAATACTTTATGGCAACTTTTTTCCAATCTAAGACCACACATAAGAAGTCTTCTTAGTCTCTGTTACGGGTTGTATTCCCTTCTACCCACACCCTCCCCCCACCCCCCAAACACACACCATTCATTGTTGAGGTCCTAACCCCCAGTACCTCAGAATGTGACTATATTTGAAAACTGGACCTTTAAAGAGGTCATTAAGTTGAAATAGTGGGCCCTAATTCAATATGACTGGTGTCTTTATAAAGAAGAGGAGATTGGGACGCAGACATTACAGACAGAGGATGACTGTATGAGGACGAAGGAGAAGGTAGCCATCTACAAGCCAAGGAAAGAGGCTTCATGAGAAATCAAATCTGTTAACAACTTGATGTTGGACTTCTAGCCTCCAGAATTATGAGAAAAAAAACCTTCTGTTGTTTAAACCAACGAGCCTGTGTATTTTGTTATGTAAGCCTTAGCAAACTAATATCATCTCTTTTAATCTGAAATAGTTTGTCTTTCCTTGTCTTTCATGACATTTTTGAAGTGTACAAACCAGTTGTTTTATAGAATATTCTTTACTTTGGGTTTGTCTGATAGTTTCTTCATGATTAAATTCCAATTATGCACTTCGGACAGAAATAAGATAAAGGTGATATTAAGTCCTCATGTCATCTCACATATGATGCTCAAAATTATGCTGAGTGAGAAAAAGCCAGACCAAAAAGGGAACATACTGTATTATTTTATTTACATAAAACTCTAGAAAATGCAAACCAATCTCTAGAGAGAGGAAACAGATCAAACAGGAAACAGAACATTTGCTTGGGGCTTGAGGTCTGAGAGATACAGGAGGAAGGAATAATAAAGAGGAATGGGGAACATTTTAGGGGTGATGGATATGTTCAATATCTTGATTGTGGTGATAATTTCACATATGTATACATATGCCAAAACTTATAAAATAGTGCATAACACTGTGGAAAACATGGATAAATATTGTTATAATCTATAAGTGTGGGGGGAGGTACCTTTATAAGTATGATTCACACTCAGAAATTATAAAAAGAAAATACAGATAAATTGAACACACTAAAAAATTTGCATCGCAAAAGCATTTAAAAAGTCAAAAGACAAATAAATTTGGAAAAACTATATACTGAAAAAAGATTTAATACCATGTGTAAAAATCTCCTATAAGTCAGTAAGAAAACTTAATCAAGAATTCAAAGTTTAGACCTGGTTCGTGTGGCTTGGTGGATTGGGCACCATCCTGTGAACCAAAAGGTCGCTGGTTAGATTTCCAGTCTGGGCACATGCCTGGGTTGCCAGCCAGGTGTCCAGTAGGGGGCACATAAGAGGCAACCACACATTGATATTTCTTGACCTCTTTTTCTCCTCCCTTCCCCTCTGTCTAAAAATAATTCTTAAAAAAAAAAATTCAAAGTTTATCAATATAAGGGGGTCCAGCCAAGATGGAAGCATCGGTAGAAATGCTTTGCTTCCTCGCACAACCAAAAGAAGGATAACAACCAATTTAAAAACAACTAATAACCAGAACTGACAGAAAATCAACTGCATGGAACTTCAACAACCAAGGAGTTAAAGAAACATTCATCCAGACTGGTAGGAGGGACGGAGACAGGCAGCTGGGCAGAGAGGGCCCAGTGCCACCCAGTGGCAAGGTGGCAGACTGAAGGCGAGGCGGAGGCTGGCGGACCAGGAAACTAAAGACTCAAAAATTTCTAGCTGTTGATGTGGCCCGGTGGATTCTGCACCAGCCTGCAAACCAAAGGGTTACAGATGCAATTCCCAGTGTATGGCACATGCCTGGGTTGCAAGCCAGGTCCCCAGTAGGGGGCGCACAAGATGCAACCACACATTGATGTTTCTCTTCAGCTCTTTCTCCCTCCCTTCCCTTCTCTAAAAATAAATAAATAAAATCTTAAAAAAACAACAAGAACAACAACAACAAAACTCTTGCTGTAAAATCCTGTGGGGGCTGCAAAGGTGGGAGCAACTCCCAGTCTCACAGGAGTTCATTGGAGAGGCCCACAGGGTCCTAGAATGTACACAAACCCTCTCACCTGGAAATCAGCATCTGAAAGGGCACAATCTACTTGTGGGAAGTGAGGGAATAATGGAAGTTGGGGGAGAGTAGAGCGAGTGGCATAGTTCCCTCTCTGACCCCTCCCCCATGGACAGCACCACAAGGCAGCAAAAAAGGTTGCTCTCCCCACCCCCTGGGCAAACACCTAAGGCTCCACACATTACATTGTACCAGAAGCTCTGAGACAAAGATATATGGCCCAAATGAAAGAATAGATCAAAACTCTGGGAAAAGAACTAAGCAAGGAGGAGAGAGCCAACCTATCTGATACACAGTTGAAAACACTGGTAATCAGGATGCCCGTAGACTTGATTGAGCTTGTTGCAAAATGAAGGAAGAAATGAAGACTATACAAAGTGAAACAAAGGAAAATATACAGGGAACCAACAGCGAAGGGAAGGAAACTGGGACTCAAGTCAACAAATGGGAATAGAAGGAAGAGATTAACATTCAACCAGAACAGAATGAAGAAACAAGAATTCAAAAAAATGAGAGGCTTAGGAACCTCTGGGACAATTTTAGGTGCTCCAATGTCTGAATCATAGGGGTGCCAGAAGGAGAAAAGGAAGAGCAAAAAACTGAAAACTTATTTGAAAAAATAATTAAGGAAAACTTCCCCAATCTGGTGAAGGAAATAGACTTCCAGGAAGTCCAGGAACCCCAGAGAGTCCCAAAGAAAATGGACACAAGGAAGAATACACCAGGGCACATCATAATTTAGTTACCCAAGATTAAAGATAAGGAGAGAATCTTAAAAGCAGCAAGAGAAAAGGAGACAGGTACCTACAAAGGAGTGCCATAAGACTATCAACTGATTTCTCAAAAGAAACCTTACAGGCAAGAAAGGGCTAGAAAGAAGTATTCAAAGTCATGAAAGACAAGGACCTACATCCAAGATTACTCTATCCTGCAAAGCTCTCATTTAGAATGGAAGGGCAGATAAAGTGCTTCTCAGATAAGGTCAAGTTAAAGGGGGTCATCATTACCAAGCCCTTATTATATGAAATCTTAAAGGGACTTATCTAAGAAATAGAAGATCAAAAACAATGAACAGTAAAATGACAAGAAACTCACAACTTTCAACAAGTGAACCTAAAAAACAAAAACAAAGCAAACAACTAGAACAGGAACAGCATCACAGAAAGGAGATCAGAGGAGACAGGGAAGGGGAGAATGAGGGAGAAAGGTACAGGGAATAAGAAGCATAATTTGTAGTCATAAAATAAACAGAGGGAAGTTAAGAATTAGTATAGGCAATAGAGAAGCCAAAGAACTTACAG